ACAATACGTTCTGTACAGATCCTCAGGGGGAACTCAGAGAATCACAGGGGTATCACATAGACTTTATGAACGCAGCGTAGCTCGCGTAACAAGAGTAATAGGATACCAGTTAATGTGCCAGTTAGGTTAGAGTAATAGGATACCAGTTAATATATCCGATATAGGGTAGAGTAATACGATACAAGTTAATGTATCCAACTACAGAGTAGAGTAATAGGATACCAGTTAATGTGTATCCGATAGGGTATAGTAATAGGATACCAGTTAATGTGTATCCGATAGGGTAGAGTAATAGGATACCAGTTAATGTATCCGATAGAGTAGAGTAATAGGATACCAGTTAATGAAGTTAAAAAGAAGGATGGAGAAAGGAAGGATGGAGAGAGGAAGAATGGCGAGAGGAAGAATGGAGAGAGGAAGGATGGAGAGAGGAAGGATGGAGAGAGGAAGGTTGGAGAGAGGAAGAATGCAGTCTGTAGAGAGAAAGGATAGAAAGAGGAAGGAGGAAGAGATGAAGGATGGAGAGAGGACGGTTGGAGGGAGCAAGGATGGAGAGGGGAAGGATTATTTTAATATCTAGGAAGGAAGAGTATACATTATTTTAATATCTAGGAAGGAAGAATATACATTATTTTAATATCTAGGAAAGAAGAATATACATTATTTTGATATCTAGGAAGGAAGAACTCCACTACATTATGCATCTGCTCTGAAAGGAACAACCCAGGGTAAAGAATTTACATTAAAGATTTAGATTTTATTTTCGCTGACTGAACTTACTCTGGGTTAAAGAAACCAATCCTTTTTAAAGAATACCTTTATTTAAAAAATTTTTATCCGAAGCTTAGAAATATTGGAAATACCTTTTTCTAATCGGATTTTTAACCAATGAGAGATCTTTCAATTTTCTGAGAAACAGATAATGAGTTAAACTCATTGTTAAAATGATTCTGTTTAGGAGTGAACAAATTATTTGATTTCCTGGTAGAAGCAGGAGCTGATGAAAATGTTGTTGATATTGTAAGTTTTTTAGTTTTTCTGAAAAGGTCATTTAAAACATATTTACTTGTTCATTGCAGTACATAATTTTGGCTTCATTATTCTTTTAGATGCATATAAACAATGTTTATTGATGATTAACAAAGGCCAAAAGATATTCTCTTTCCCAAACAGGGTTTCCTTCCTTGATATTCTCTTTCCCAAGCAGGGTTTCAGTCCTTGATATTCTCTTTTTCAAACAGGGCTTCCTTCCTTGATGTTCTCTTTCACGAACAGGGTTTCCTTCCTTGATATTCTCTTTCCCAAACAGGATTTCATTCCTTGATATTCTCTTTTCCAAACAGGGCTTCCTTCCTTGATATTCTCTTTCCCGAACAGGGTTTCCTTCCTTGATATTCTCTTTCTTAAACAAGGCTTCCTTCCTTGTTATTCTCTTTCTCAAACTCGGGTCCGTTCCTCAATATTCTCTTTCCCAAACAGGGCTTCCTTTCTGGATATTCAATTATCCAATCAGGGTTTCCTTTCTTGATAGTCTATTATCCAAACAGGGCTTCGTTGATTAATATTCTTTTTCCCAATAAGGATTTTGTTTATTGGTATTCTGTTTCCAAATCAGGACTTCGCTGATTGGTACTCCGCTTCCCAACCAGGGTTTCGTTGATTGGTATTCTGTTTCCCAACCAGGGTTTCGTTGATTGATAATCTGTTTCCCAATTAGGGTTTCGTTGATTGGTAATCTGTTTCCCAACCAAGGTTTCGTTGATTGGTAATCTGTTTCCCAATTAGGGTTTCCTTCTCTTTCCAAAACAGGGTTTCGTTCCTCAATATTTTCTTTCACAATTATAATTTTTCCAAACAGGGGGTTTCTCATCGATACTTACTAAGATGTCAACCTATGTTGAATTGTTTAAACCCTCATTATCTCCTGTGCTTTCTGAACTGTAAAATCTCATCAAATCACGGTTAACCCGACTTTTTCTTAATATTTTCCCATCTTTTATAAATCTTTTGTTTTTTTTCTAGCAAGGAAAACCCCCGCTCTATTACAAGGATAATCCTAAAAGTATTAGGTAAGAAAATTATCTTTAGAATAAAATTAGATATTATTCGATTTTTGTTATTTTTTATAGATATATGTCGTCAAATCTTTTTATGCTCTCAAGTTGGATTTATAATTCTTATTCTAAATTTTTTTGAAATGATTTTACATGAAATTTAACTTAATAAGTTGATTTTCAAGCTTTTGTTAAAACCCTCTGCATTTCAATAAATTATGTTAATTATTTTATTGAAAAAAGTTTAAAGTTACCTTTTCACTTCCAGTTTTTCATTTTTCCCCCCAAGTCCTAAAATATCATTGTAATTCTTAAAATCATTTATCCGGCCATGTATAATTTTTTGAATTTTTAAAAAATATGTTATTAAACATGTTATATTTCCATTAGAATATTGCGCGCTGTTTACGAATCGGCAATGCAACAAAAGCAAAAATCTATTTCTAAAGATATAAAGGAATTGAGTCTTAACCGCAAATTCAGATTTTTTATTCCTATATCTTTGCAAACTGATGGCTAAACCTTAGATATTTTAAACTTAGATTAATCGATTTAACAGAAATCATAGTTTGAAATAGCTAAGGTCTATACGACATTGGATTGCAAAAAATAGGTATTAGAAAATCAGAGTTTGTGGCAAAAACTCAATTCCTTTGTTTGAATTTTAGCTTAAATTAATCTAAAAAAGACACTGCTACTTTTTACCAATTTGAAATAATTTACTAAAATTGAAGAAAATTATTTTTAAGAACACGAACTGTTGGCAGCAGGCGACCTCCTCCTGCTTCAACTCATCTATTGAAAGGAGATCCAGATTCAGCAACATCCCCCAGTAAGTACCTTGCTTTATTCAGTATACCAGGACAACAACTAAGTCCCAGCTCTAAACCTGAAGCTCCAGGCTTAACCCTGAGTTTAGGGGATCAGGATATAACAAGGTTCGGATCACTGGATCAGGATGTGCCAGGGTTCGGATCCACATCGGAAGAGGAAGTACAAACAATTACAAAGAGGAAAAGACTGAGAAAACGTAAAAGTAGGAGGGATCTTCACAAATCTGAACCTGAACCTGAACCTGAAAAAGATCCCTCACCCAGGAAGAGCAAAGATAAAACAAATGACGCCCTGAAGATAAAAACACCTCAGAAAACCCCGAAATCAAAAAAAAAATCAAAAGTTCAATCAACCATAAATACCTCGGATCCAACACAAGTTCGAAGAGACAGTCAACCCCGGAAATCTCTAACTAGCTACGAACTAAAAGATTATTTAAGTAAGAAAAAAATCGCTACAGATTGGAACACTGTGAGCACAGTGCTGGAAACTGTGAAACGACTTCAAGACGGAACTCAAGCAGATGATATTGATGAGGTTGAAGGAAGTCTGACAAGTGCCTCCACTGTCCGATCTATTGATAATCAAGAACATCAGCCTCCAAAACAACCCTTCAGCAAACCTACATCTAAAAATCCTCTGCTAGCAAATAAATTTCGCGAGACTGTTTTTAAAATGGTTGCAAAGACGAGTGTGCCAAAAGTAAAGAATAACGATGACGAAAATGTCTGCCAAGTCTATGACGCTGTGACCAAATCAAATGAGGATTTTGAAGCTCAAATTCGTGCCATGAAACATATCCCTCCTCCCAGCAAGGAAACTAAGAAAATAAAAATTCCTAGTACACAAAAAGTGGATTCGACCAAGAAGATGGGTCTCCCTCCTATAGTTGTTCAGACAGGAACCCTAAACAAGAAACAGAAGATACCTCCGCAGTTTACAGCAGAATACGACAAAAACGCAGATTTAGAGTTTTACAGTGATTTTAAGTTTACATTTATACCGCTACCAATTCCCACCGATGAACTTCCACGTGAGTTGATGCACACCACTTGGATCCAACACGTGGAAACTTCTCGTAAAAGAAGGATTACAGCCATGCATGCTTCATTTATTGCAATTGCATGCTTATTGCACTCTGCAGTATGCACCCCGCATTCTTTGCATCCTCTTCAGTTGATCATGGTTTCCAGAACCTAGTAGATATATTTCTGCATTTCAGATTTTTGAAAACAATTATTTTTTTCTTATAAAGTTCAGTTGAAATATTTGATCCATCTGATGTGGATGCAAAGTATGATTTGAAAGGAAGAAGACGACATTTCTAATTCCTGTCCTGGTATACGACTTACGCTCTGTTGCATGCAGTTCACTAGACTAGATCACAGTAGTACAGTTAATCTCGTTTTTTCATCTAAAACGTATGATTTTCATGTCGTTATTTATCAACAACAACTGATATTTTGATTTGTTTTGTGGCTGGTCAAATATCAGGAAAGTTTTGAAATTTATTAAAGTAATAAGTAATCTTAGATTACTTAATCAAACAGAATTCATAGTTTGAAAATTTTTAGGTCTATTTCAGTGGGTTGCAAAGATATGGGGATTAAAAAATAGAGTTTGTGGCAAAAACTCAATTCCTTTATGGCTTTTTTTCTCATTTGTTTCTTCTTTTATCCATAATTTAAAAGTTTTACAGGTGTTTTATTTAAAATATTTTCTTATGAACATCTAGAATTCCCTTAAACACACAAAAACATAAAAAAAATCAAGTTTTGAGAATTATTTTTACTGGAGACAAAAGATTTGAATTCTGAACTGAAAAATGAATAAATAGGAAGTGGAATATTTAGTAATTATAAAAACATTCTGTTTATCCTTGATAAACATTTCTATTCTAAAAATGTTTTAAAATCTTTTATATTGATATTGATAGCCTTTGTTTGAAAAGTACAATTTTGCAACCCGATAGCCTGGACCCTGTTTGCCATTTTGCAACCCGATAGCCTGGACCCTGTTTGCCATTTTAATCTCCGAACTCAGAGGTTTTCATGAATTTGGAAAAATTGAACTAAATATTCAGCATTTTAAATAAAAATTTATATTATAGTATTTGCTGCGGTTATAGTTTATCTATTTATGCGCAGTTAATGAAAAAAATTGAAAAGTTTATTTGAAATAAAACAGTGTAGAGCGAGACTAGTAATTATTTCAAAAATTTAAAATCTTTAGTTTAACTTAAAAATATTAGACGTTTTCAGGGAAGTGGCCAATATCAAATTTAGAAAATTTGTTTCATTTAAACAATTAGAAAATTAAAGAGAATTAAAGAATTTGACCATTTCCTAGAAAAAAATTTTAAAATAAAATCCATCCTTGACTTGAAAATTCCACGTACACTGGGACTGCCCTTCTTAAGTAAATATCAAGTTCTTAGAGGGTTATCCACGATTAACAACTCCGCCCTTTAAACCTTAATCTGATCAACAGTTTAGAAGATAACGTCGCTTTATACCTTAATCTGATCAATAATGTAGAAGATAACGTCGCTTTAAACCTTAATCTGATCAATAATGTAGAAGATAACGTCGCTTTATACCTTAATCTGATCATAATGTAGAAGATAACGTCGCTTTATACCTTAATCTGATCAATAATGTAGAAGATAACGTCGCTTTATACCTTAATCTGATCAATAATGTAGAGTATAACGTCGCTTTATACCTTAATCTGATCAATAATGTAGAAGAAAACGTCGCTTTTCAATTGAGTTTCTGAAGTAAGAAATTCGCAATTTACTAAATCAAACAAAGCTTTAAAGGGTGAATCTGAAATTTACCAGTCTATTGATGGAGGGTTAGTTGAAATTATGTGAAAATTTCATTTCCCTCCGTCAAACTTTGAGAAGGATTTTCTTAATTAGATAAAAGTTAATTTCAACTATTCTAACATTTTGCAACGAAAACAGAAAATATTTGTAGAAAAGCTTCTTGAAGAAAAAAGAAACATTCAAACTTAAAATTAAGTTTGTGAGACTCAGAATATTTGTTAAAAAACTACAGTTCCAACATAACATTTGAAGAAGATAATTAAGCTTTAAATATTAGACTGACACAAGATTGTATTTGAAAATACAGGATTTGTTTACGAAGAGAATAGAATATATATTAGAGGGGAAATTACTAGAAAAAAGTGTAAAACGGCCATTTTGTTGTACTGTTTCCATACTGCAGGTGTACTTCACATATTTACGCTATATGACCTTTTAGGCCCTGGAATATCATTTTATAGAAAATCTAAAATTAATATTAATTGAAAACCAAATTATGAAATAGGCTGGTTTCATAATTGACCAATGATCATTTCACATAGACTCTATTCCTTTCACTTTACAAACGATGATTTTCCGTTATAACTTTAAAATCAAATGATGTTTTTTATTCACCTAATTCATTTTATAAAGTTTACTTAACAGCTTTAAAAAAATAGAAATTGAAATGGATAGTCTAGGGAACATACTGTATTAGTGCATATAATTTGTGAACATTTACATGATTCGTACACTTTGAACTCCCTTTCAGGCTGAATGGGACTGACAAAATTCATACCAAGAGATTTCTTAAATTCCACTCTAATATATATTCTATTCTCTTTGTTTGTTTATCAGTTTGAAACTTAGACCTGAAACATTTCTAGTCTGAACTTCATCATGCTTTTGAATTACGAGTGCGCCAGAATAAGACTAAAGAAACTCAATAACGTGGAACTTCATCTATTATTCTACTTTTGTTAAAGGAGTTAATCCGATCAAAAACTTACTTAAATATATTAAGCAAAGGAATTGAGTCTCTGCCACAAACTCTGATTTTTTAATACCAATATCTCTGCAACCCGATGTCGTACAGCCTAGATATTTCAAACTTAAAATATTTGATCCAACAAGTTTCATAGTTTGAAATATCTAAGGTCTACGATTTGGGTTGGAAAGATATAAGGATTAGAAAATCAGATTTGTGGCAAAGACTCAATTCCTTTAGAATTAAAAAAGAGATAATGGCAAGAGGAGCACAGATTTGGGCCAATTATGAACAAAATATGCGCACGAAAAAAAGCTAAAGAAATCCAAGAATAATATTGACACTTTCCATAAGACTGTAAACAAAATGCGTAAAACATTTACATAATATAGATTGAAATAAAATTACGCCATAAAAAACTCCTTTCAATTTTGAAAACGAAAATATCTTGTTTTTCTTTTTAAGGAAATATATAGATTGACATAAGAAAAGGTAAAATTGTTGAAAAAAATATGAATAAATATGTGTCTTAGCTGTCCCCTAAGTTTATAGATAAGCTTTCACAATAAGTTAAAAATTTTATGAGATTTAAAACGCTTGATCTTGATATCCATATTGGTAACCTTTAATTTAGTGAACACTAATACCCAGCAGGAATTACTAATAAAGGAATCAATTACGAATCTGTTAAATTTAAAAGTTTTGACTCCAGAAAAAAAAATCCTTCGGAGCATTTAAGATACGAATATTTGAATAGCTTCCTCGCGCAGATTTAACAGTTTAGTCATAATCCCAGCGAGCTGTGTCTTTCGATCACAATTTGACAAATTAAAAACTAATTTTTTTCTACTTTCTCTTTGATACTTTTTTTCCTGGGGGATTCGTTTTTAATGAAAAAAAGACAACTCTGGCAATTTTAAAATAATTGAATTATAAATTAAAACACGATGAATACAAAGTGATAAAACCAAACGCATCTAGGCGTGGTTAGTCCGGGTGGCATAATTCTAGGGATTAGCAAAAAATAGAAGAACTGACGCAAAGAAAAATAAGAAAATAANATATTGAACTTGTAACCCCACACCTTTTCCGTTCTGAGCACTGACTAAAAATGGGCTTTTCAGTTGTATTTAGTCGTGATCCTCTTGATGAATGATAAGTGTCTCAAGGCGCTTAAATAATACTGACTACTAGTCACAAATAGTCTCTAAAATTTGCGACCTTGGTCCACCCGGGACCTTTAATATTTGATTTAATAGAATTCAAAGTTTGGAATATAAAAGGTCTACGATTAGAATATAAAAGGTCTACGATTAGACTATAAAAGGTCTACGATTAGAAAGTCAAAGTTTGCGGCAAGAAATCCTTTTTTCCTTTAAAACAATGATGTCGATTGTGACGTCATTACCCTGCATTAATGGCAAACAGAAGTTTACAACTTGGAAAACAATTTAATCCAATAAACTCAGAGGAAATACATTTTTGGTTTAATTTGCACGTCGCGGTAACTCAAAAGTTATTAAATGCACATTTTCAACTCTGTAGGCTATAGGGTGTCAAACAAACTTCAATAAAACGATGTCCGATTTTTGGAGAGACAAAAATACATAAACACAAAAAATATAAAAATTGCGTAGTTAAACAGGAAATTTTAAGAAATGTCTAATCTATCTAAATTGATTGGAAATTGAGGCTCTGACATCAACTGACCGTTTTTCTTGAGACTTTCTAACATTTTTTTCCAGTTTAATAGATTCTTTTATACCTGAATTTTATCTTTCTTTTAAACATTTTTTTATTGCAGTGGGTAGTGTTTTTTTGCAGTGCGTAATGTTTTTTTGCAGTGCGTATGTTTTCTGCAGTGCGTAATGTTTTCACAGTGCGTAATGTTTTTTTGCATTGGGCAGTGTTTTTTGAAGTGCGTATTGTTTTTTTTGCAGTGCGTAATGGTTTTTGCAGTGTGTAATGGTTTTTGTAGTGCGTAATGTTTTTTTGCAGTGCGTAATGTTTTTTTTGCAGTGCGTAATGTTTTCACAGTGCGTAATGTTTTTTTTATGTGGGTAGTTTCTTTTACAGTGTAATTTTTTTAGAGTGGGTAATGTTTCTTTTGCAGCGGGTAATGTTTCTTTTGCAGTTTGTAATGTTTTTTAAAGTGGGAAATGTGTTTTTAGCATTGGGTAATTTTTTTTGAAGTGTGTAATGTTTGTTTTAGAAGTGGGTGATGTTTCTTGTGCAGTGTGTTATTTTTTTTTTAAAGTGGGAAATGTTTTTTTTGCAATGGGTAATGTTTCTTGTGAAGTGGGTAATGTTTTTTTTTAATGTGGGAAATGTTTTTTTAAATGTGGGAAATGTTTTTTTAATGTGGGAAATGTTTTTTTAAGCCGTGGGTCAAATTTTTTTTTTTGCAGCGGGTTTTGTGACACTCAACAAACCTTAATTTCTAATCGAATCGTAATGGAAAGATATTAGGATTAGACTATTTTTTCTGAGGCATTTGGTCAGTTTCTTTCGACTAATATTTTCCTTCTGTATCTGAGTGCTTTGTAAGTGACTTAACCTTGAACACGTGACTCGGTTTGATTTTATTGTCTAAACTAAAATTGTTTTCAAACTTGACAGTAAACTGCAGAAAGCCCTGTAGTCAATTTCGCTGACCCCCCCCCCCCTCCGCCCCCCCCTCCTGTATAAAATCCAATCTCCGAAACTACTTCTCCGTATTACTTCAAATAAAGTGCAGCTTCATGGACGAATGTATAGCTAAGTGCTCCTAATGATAAATTCAATCCCTGAAACTGTACTATATTTGCAAAAAATACATGTAGAGAGCCAAGAACTTAAAAGACTTAATGTATCATAAGAAGCCCAGTATCGGAAACCAGGATTCAAGAATGGGTTAGGCAATTTTGTAGATATCTCAATGTTTTTGTAATAATTTTTTTATGTTATTTTATTTTTATTTTTTATTTAAATATACGCTAGCAGGAAAATCTGGGATTTCGTTCAAGGATACTCTTTTGGATGGGCTTAGGAGATCCGCTGTATTTTCTTTGCTTCTGCCTGACAATATCAAAGCAAGAAAGTTTAGACAGTTATAAAACCGTGTTTCATGCAACAAGGAAGAAAATAAGATCAATTTTATAAAAAAAAAATTACGCAATTCACAGTACAACTAGTTTTGTTTCTATGATAAATGTTGATAATCATGAAACCAAGAAACTAATAGATCCTACATGCAATTCTTTGTTAGAGCTTTCATCATTAATATAACCGTTGGGGAGTTAAAACCATATTTTGGAAAATTTAATATTTGGTTTACAAATTATCTGAATTTATAAATTTGAAGTTTGTTTGAAACTTTTTACTCTTGCTAAAATTGCATGTTATTGGCAAAATCTTTTCAAAGTTTCTTTGATGAAACGTTTTTCATTTTATGTTTCTAAAAAGAAAAAGAAATATTCATGCTTTTCATAACTTGCAATCTTAACACTGCTATTATCATTATTCATAATTAAGTTTTGTTTCAGTTCCTCCTCCGAACCATACTTTGTTTCAGTTCCTCCTCCTAACCATACTTTGTTTCAGTTCCTCCTCCTAACCATACTTTGTTTCAGTTCCTTTTCCTAACTATACTTTGTTTCAGTTCCTCCTTCTAACCATACTTTGTTCAGTTCCTCCTCCTAACCATGCTTTGTTTCAGTTCCTCCTCTTAACCATACTTTGTTCAGTTCCTCCTCCTACCCATGCTTTGTTTCAGTTCCTCCTCCTAACCATACTTTGTTCAGTTCCTCCTCCTAACCATGCTTTGTTTCATTTCCTCCTTCTAACCATGCTTTGTTTCAGTTCCTCCTTCTAACATTACTTTGTTCAGTTCCTCCTCCTCCTGACCATACTTTGTTTCAGTTCCTCCTTCTAACCATACGTTGTTTCAGTTCCTCCTCCTAACCATACTTTGTTCAGTTCCTTCTCCTCCTGACCATACTTTGTTTCAGTTCTCCTCATAACCATGCTTTGTTTCAGTTCCTCCTCATAACCATACATTGTTTCAGTTCCTCCTCCTAACCATACTTTGTTTCAGTTCCTCCTCCTAACCATACTTTGTTTCAGTTCCTCCTCCTAACCATACTTTGTTTCAGTTCCTCCTCCTAACCATACTTTGTTTCAGTTCCTCCTCCTAACCATACTTTGTTTCAGTTCCTCCTCCTAACCATGCTTTGTTTCAGTTCCTCCTCCTAACCGAGCCTACCTGAGAACCCTGATTCACAACTCTGACCTAGAACACCTAGAGAAGGTAAGTTCTAACCCAACACTTTGGACTTTTGTTCCACATGTAAAATTTTATTCACCTATGGCGCTTCCGAGCCCCTTTTTCCTGTTAAAAGTTTTATCTTTTATCTGTTGCTCTAAAAGTCTTCATTTTTCAACATTATAAGATTTCTGCGGATTTTCTTATTTAAATTGGTGCATTTAAAAGATATTTAATGCCGGCAGTTTTTCTCAAGAAAATCTGACAATCCATAAACCTTCCCTGGGGTCATTAAAGTTTAGGTGTTTGACTATTGAGAGGTTTATTAAATACAAAAACAGACGGAGAAGCCAAATATATAATAAACGATTATATTGAATCTGTTAATGTCACTTGTTGGCTCATTTTCTGCTAATTAGGGTTAATTAGTTCATTTATATTAGTTGTATAGAATTGTCACATAATCAATGTTTTGATTATGATTATTATACAATAATTGTATAATTATTATGTAAAGGAAAAAAATTCATAAAAAACTTCTATAATTAAAGTTTTATCTCCTGTCTTATCCTGTTCTCTCCTGTCCAATTCTGTCTTATCCTGTTCTCTCCTGTCCAATCCTGTCTTATCCTGTTCTCAATCCTGTCTTATCCTGTTCTCTCCTGTCCAATCCTGTCTTATCCTGTTCTCCCCTGTCCAATCCTGTCTTATCCTGTTCTCTCCTGTCCAATCCTGTCTTATCCTGTTCTCTTCTGTACAATCCTGTCTTATCCTGTTCTCTTCTGTCCAATCCTGTCTTATCCTGTTCTCTTCTGTCCAATCCTGTCTTATCCTGTTCTCTCCTGTCCATTCCTGTTCTATCGAAGTATAGAAAATCCTATTTCTATGCAAAGATGGCAATGCCAAGTCACAACGGTACCCTTGAAACCTTTCTCTGATCAATGATGTGGAGAATACTGCCGTTATTTTCTAGGTTTTAAAGTGTAACTATGATAACTCCTAAATACCGTTCACATAGATTCAACCTGCTTATTAAAAGTCTCATAAATTTTGAAGACAGGGTCGACTTTGTAGTGTTGCAAGTCGCAACTCCTTGGGCTATGATTTTACCGCTCTATCTCTCTTATGCTTTTCTGTAGCCCTTTATATGTGCATTTTAGCACTTACAGTGTTTGTTTTTATAGCTTTGGTTTTTAAGAAGTAATTGGCAAAATTCTCATAGATTTTTGATTGAGAGTTTGAGACCTTTAAACCAGTGTGTGTTTTCAGTTTTCAAAATTATAAATTAAAACTTGTAAGGGTACCGATGTAATTCGGGTATTGTCATCTCTGCATGAAGGCTCATTTGAAATACCGAGTACAGTCCCTTTATAGTTAAAAGCTGTTTAAACTGAAGCCGAATTTAAATAATTTGAGCCTCGGCTTAAATTTGAGACGCGACTCAAATTGTATTCAATGTTTCAAGATTTAAGCCGGCGCTCAATTGAAACCGGTTTTTGGCAGATTTAAGACGCGGCGCAAATTCATTAAATTTTGACTCTGAATGTTTAAAAACAGATGTTCAAAACGATGCACAATTCAAGAATGAAGACAGCTTTTAGGTGGTATTTTTATGTAAATATAAAAAAGATTGTAAACAAGGAATTCTTTGGTATGAAGAAATGTATTATGTATATATCTACTTTTAAAAGATACATAGAGATAACTTTATTTTTTCAGGTCGTGTTAGACGGACATGGTCAGGTAAAACTTGAATGTTGTAAAATTCTGCGAAATAATATTCATGAAATCCAATTTTTATATGTAGTTTAATAATTTATGAAAAACTTCAAAACGTTTCTTTAAAAATTTCGCAATTGCATTCATGGAAACCTTAAAACCTTTATAAATGTCGATTAATGTTTTTAACTCAGAAATAACTAATAATGACCATTTTGTTTTTTTGTTGTTTTTTTTCTCTGCACAATTAAGCAAAGAAACTGATTACTCGAAACAAACCTAATTTCCTATTTCCTAAAGCTTTACAACCTGATGGTGTAAACCTTTGATATTTCAAGCTCAGATGATTTAATCTACATTTATTAATTGTCTGAAATGACAAAGATCTACGAAATCAGATTGTAAAGATATAAGAATTAGAAAATTAGAATTAGTTGCTAGTTTTTAGTTACTTTTCAAACCAAAAACGATATCATCTTAATTGATGATTAGAAAAAATTGAATTCCTTTAAATATTGCGAATTTTATTCTCAAAATTTTTTCTGAAAAGCAAAAAATTTTTTAGACAATTTCTCTTTGTTCAGAGATTGTTGGGTGAAACTACAGCATTTAATAATGTGGGAAAATTCTTACAAGCTCTTCCAGATCTTATGGTGAGTATTCAATTATTTAAAAGATAAAAAAATAATTTGAAAAGTTTAGAGTTCACGTCTATACCGGCTGTACCTAATTTCTATATCTAAATTATTCAGGGTTAACGTGAACAAATTTTGTAAATGCTTTGTTATTATTAATGATAACAGATTTCTATGATTATTTAAAAGTTAAAAAAATATGGTTTGAACGATAATGTTTAGTTTACATAAAAGAAAAGAAAAGTACATTAAAAGTGTAGCTGACTTATTTTAATTATTTACAATTACTTTACAGGGAAGTTAAGGGAATTTTACTTTACCAAGGGTTCCCAAGACCAATTTTGCCTACAAAACATCCAGAGCGCAACGATCGGAATATTTTTAAGCAAAATGGGTCGAGGGAACCCGTGGTTAAGAAAAAATTTTGGTTCTTCACAATTCTTTCGTCTTTAGAGATGAAAAGGCAGATATTTTTTCACGAAAACTTCACAGAGATTATTTTACCTAATCGTCCCAAGGGACGTTAAGTAACCTAGCCTTCCTCTGTTAATGGAATCATAGATTATTAATATTGCCACTTCAGCATTTGTTTCCGATACCAGATGTCTTTATTAGATCTGGAGTTACATATAAGATATTTAATAGACAGGGATTCTTTACTCGCTTAAAGGGAATGTTAAAGGGAGTGACCGGCTATGTAAGGTAGTTGAACTGAGTATGCAGTGTTGTGGAAAGCTTCTTTAGGATTCTTTGAGACATATTAAACTTTTAAAAGATCTGTAAATCCTGAGTTTAAACGCAAATTTGACGTTAAAAACTCCTACTTTGGGGGTGGATACGTTTTCAGAATCGTTTTTTTTTTACTTATTAAATAAAGACGACATAAAATGTAAAAAAAAATTCTACAGTAACTAATTAGTTGTGTGGTTATATTAGGATTTTATGTGTATTATGAAATAAGTTAACGATCCCATATTAATTTTGAAATCTTTTTTTAAAAAAAAGCTTTTTTAAAACAGTTAGATAAGATAAGATTATATATAGTTTATTGCTAAAAAATACACATACAAGTTATAATGTTAGAGGCAAAAAAATCTGCAACTATTTTTATATTGTTTACTATATGTTTATTGTATGTATTGTAGCCATTAGGTGTAGATAAGCTTTCTCTGTTTTGGGTATATTATCCCACCTAATTAATATTAAAACGTTTACAATATGAATATTACTAGGCTTTGAAAATTTACAATAAGTCAGGGATTACTTGTTAAATTTAGAGAGACCGAGGTGCAGCATAAGAAATAATTGATTTTTCAGTTTTAAAATTTAGTACAGAATAAGATTAAGCATGCCCAATAATCTACCAATATTTATAATCATTTTTTGGAAGAATAACAAGAGGGTTTATTGCACTTTGAGATGTAGGCGTCAGATAACATTTCTAATAAACTTTTTTAAAATATGTCTACCGAGGCACTTCTTTTTAAATCAAGTGGCAGTTTATTCCAAATCTTAAGAAGTGCATATGAGGGAAGATATTCTAATGAGCCTGTATTTAAAATGTCCATTTGATATTAGAGTTTTTTTTAAAAAGTGTCGTTAAATAATGAGGGTAGAAGGTTTTTCGTGTATTTACACATAAATGTGGCTTGAAAAATAATAAGTCAAATCATTTAACTTAAGGATTTTATACTTAAAGAAAAGAGGATCGGTATGTGAAGCTGTTTTTGCTTTATCAATAATTCTAACTGCATGCACGTTTTTGAAGCAAGCTATTTTTTTCATTTCAGGACTTTATTTCTCCCCCAGGCTGCAATTCCATATTCTACAAAAGAGCGAAATAAGTAGTTATAAATAGTATGCTTAATGTTATTTTGAAGTAGATTTCTTACATTGGATAATGCAAACACTGCGCTATCAAGTAATTTGCTTGATAAAATCAAAAAGATGCAGGATGAAATAATTTTTTGAATTAATAAAAAAGGAAATTGTGTCAAAATAAACAATAATTCTCATCTTGTATTGTATGATACAATAAGTATTCTACACTAATTCTCATCTTGTATTGTAGGATACAATCAATATCCTACACTAATTCTCATCTTATATTGTATGATACAATAAGTATTCTACACTAATTCTCATCTTGTATTGTAGGATACAATCAATATCCTACACTAATTCTCATCTTATATTGTAGGATACAATCAGTATTCAACACTAATTCTCATCTTGTATTGTAGGATACAATCAGTATTCTACACTAATTCTCATCTTGTATTGTATGATACAATAAGTATTCTACACTAATTCTCATCTTGTATAGTATGATACAATAAGTATTCTACACTTATTCTCATCTTGTATTGTAGGATACAATCAATATTCTACACTAATTCTCATCTTATATTGTAGGATACAATATCTTATATTGTAGGATACAATCAATATTCTACACTAATTCTCATCTTATATTGTAGGATACAATCAGTATTCTGCACAACGCTACAACATCAGGAGTTGTCCCTGTGGTTTCTGAACTAATGTCTAGCGAAAGATTGGCTCTTTCCAGGGACCATTACGGAGCTACTCCACTTCATAAGGTTTTAAAAGAACCTAACCTTATTCTAGAAATCAAATTTTCAAATTAAAAAGTGGTTAACTCAACTTTAATTGGCATTTCTCCAACATTTTATTTATTAACTTTTTGCTTTTGAAGGAATTCAGTCTTTTACACAAACTCAAGACATATATCTGTGCAACCTTATGGCGTAAATCTTTGATATTTGAAACTAAGTTCGTGGAAAAGACTTAATTAAAAATTTAAAAAGTCAAACGCCATTCAGAAGTCTAAAAATGAAAAGAAAATTATATATTTTTTCTCTAGGCTGTACTTTTTTACCAACCAAAACTGGTGAAATTGATCTCAGAAAAATTCAGCTTAACGACAAAGGTAAAAGATTGAGTACAGGTTGCGTACATGTGTCATAAACTTACTTGATCCGTACACATACAATAAACTCACTTACCGTATCTGTGTATATACCATAAACTTACTTTATCCGTACACATACAATACTCTCACTTACTATATCCGTACATATACAAAAACTCACTTACCATATACGTAAATATACAATACTCTCACTTACCATATACGTGCATATACAAAAACTCACTTACCATATCCGTACATATACAATAAACTCACTTACCATATACGTACATATACAATAAACTCACTTACCATATACGTACATATACAATAAACTCACTTACCATATACGTACATATACAATAAACTCACTTACCATATACGTACATATACAATAAACTCACTTACCATATACGTACATATACAATAAACTCACTTACCATATACGTACATATACAATAAACTCACTTACCATATACGTACATATACAATAAACTCACTTACCATATACGTACATATACAATAAACTCACTTACCATATACGTACATATACAATAAACTCACTTACCATATACGTACATATACAATAAACTCACTTACCATATACGTACATATACAATAAACTCACTTACCATATACGTACATATACAATAAACTCACTTACCATATACGTACATATACAATAAACTCACTTACCATATACGTACATATACAATAAACTCACTTACCATATACGTACATATACAATAAACTCACTTACCATATACGTGCATATACAATAAACTCACTTACTATATCCGTACATATACAAAAACTCACTTACTTTATACGTACATCTACAATAAACTCACTTACCATATACGTACATATACAATAAACTCACTTACCAAATTCGTACATATACCATAAACTCACTTATCTCTACATATCTAAAAATATATCTATATATATCTGTATATATATCTCAAATTTTGATTTGTAGGCTAAAGACCAGGAGGGCAGAACACCTCTTCATTATGCAGCAGGACTTCATGATAGTGGTATATTTTACAGGTAAACCAGAACTTCATGATAGTGGTATATTTTACAGGTAAACCAGAACTTCATGATAGTGGTATATTTTACACGTAACTTCATGATAGTGGTATATTTTACAGGTAAACCAGAACTTCATGATAGTGGTATATTTTACACGTAAATCAGGACTTCATGATAGTGATATATTTAACAGGTAAATCAGGACTTCATGATAGTGGTATATTTTACAGTTAAATCAGAACTTCATGATAGTGGTATATTTTACAGGTAAATTAGGACTTCATGATAGTGGTATATTTTACAGGTAAATCAGGACTTCATGATAGTGGTATATTATATATTGCCGTCCAGTTTCCAGTTTCCTGTTTTACAAGTTTCACATTCACTACGAACCAAGATAATTTCACTTTAACGCAAAAATCGAGAAGTTTTTCGCCAATTACTCCTTTTAAACTTAAGCTAGTAACATCCGCACTGTAATTTCGAAATGTATAGGTCTAGGGCTACAAAAAAAGTATAAGCAAGTGGGTTATGTAAGATAAAAAGCTAAGCTATTGCAACACTTTAAAGTCGAGGCTGTTAAACATTTTGACGAATAACAAAGTTGACTAGATAGTAGATAGTAGATAGTAGATAGTAGATAGTAGATAGTAGATAGTAGATAGTAGATAGTAGATAGTAGATAGTAGATAGTAGATAATAGATATCAGTCCATTTTCTGCTGGAATAATATGAATGCCTGCGTTACTGACAAATATTTGTTATTTACTCTTCAATAGTTCAGAGCTTTCTGGTCTAGGTGTCATTACTGCACTCTCTTCTATACGCCATCTGTCTTCGGTCAGAGTACTTTAGATTACTGCAGAGCACACCGAAAGTTTAGTTGTGGGTGAACTATAGTTTCAGTAGAAGTAAATATTTCCATTTAGTGTATAGTGCCAAAAAAAGGATTTATCTCTAATTGAATGATGAGATTGATATAAGGATAGATGTTATTACCGCTATGTAGTTTCTATTGGTTCAGAATAGACACCTAACACATGACTGAACCATTAGGCACCCTAGCAAGTTTTAAAACAAGTCTTTAAAAAAGTTTTCTTGAAGAATATAATAATTTTCGTTGTAAAAATCAAAATTGCTTTTCTTGCTAAATCTTGATTCTATCCCCTTTCCCCTGTAATTATAACAAAACAAAATAAAACATAAACATTATAAACTTTGTGTGCTGGGTTGTCCCCCCCCCCCTCTACGATCCATTCTTCTTCTTTTCCTCTCTAGTCTTCAATACCTTTCCTTTATCTACTACTTTTCATTTTCCTCCTTTTCCTTTTGTTCTAAATTGTTTTTGTTTTAATTGGTTTTTTTTTAATTGAACATGGATGTATCGCTGCAGAAGGGCCTCTCATTCAAAACAACCAACAATGGTTAGAGAGGCCCTGGCTAAATTAAAATGTAAAAATTGTGAAACTTAAATTGTTTTTAATTAAATATTTAGTCAAATATATATCTTTCTATCTATCTATCTATCTAACCCTGGTTGGATCAGACACTAATGGATTCGGCATACAAGAGTGGGTGTTACATATTTTCTCGTAAATCTATTTACAAAAAATAAAACCGTTGTACAAAGGATGAGACTTTAACTTGCTGAATATGACGATGAGAAGAGTAAAGTATATAGTATCTTAATAATAGTTCACTAGATGAAATAGAACCATTGTACAAAGGATGAGACTTTAACTTGCTGAATATGACGATGAGAAGAGTAAAGTATATATTATCTTAACAATAGTTCACTAGATGAAATAACAAACCATTTAATTTTTACCTGCAGAGTTTTTCAGTTTCACGATGAAGATTTTCGATATAAGTTTTAATCAATCATCAAAAGCAACTTTTAAGTGATGATATAAACTAAGCTTTGTACCTAATGTCATAAATGGAGTTGTTAATATTATTTGTACTTTGAAATATGTAAACCATCTCTTTAAGATTCAAAGTTATTCTTTCATCGTAAAACAAAAATGACACGAAGCTTTTTAAAACTACAAGTTTAGACGCATAAAGAAGTATAAAACTATTATTTATGAATAATATAAAATGATTTTTTATAATTCTATTTTCAAATCTGCATGTTTAGATATTTACTAAAGTGTGGAGCTGACGAGCTAATTCAAGATAAGGTAGAATTAGTATTTATTTATCCGAAAGGAATTAAGTCCTTGCCACAAACTCTATTTTTTTATAATCCTTATATATTATTAAACTTAGATTATTTTGAATTAATAGTTTGACAACATTTAGTTGCAAAGATATAGAAATTTTAAAAACAGAGCTTGTGCAGGCAAAGACTTAATTCCTTTTGCTTTTTTAGATTTATAAACATAATTATTTCTTCTGCCCTAAACCGGCTATGTAAGGTAGTTGAACTGAGTATGCAGTGTTGTGGCAAAACTTCTTTCGGATGAAACTTATTTAAGATCTGTAAATCCTGAGTTTGAGCGCAAATTCGACGTTTAAAACTCCTACTTTGGGGGTGGATACGTTTTCAGAATTAGTTTTAATTCTACCTAACCTAATCCAACATTTTTGGACCCCACTAGCAATTATAATCTGTTTGTAAAGTATGGAAGGACAGCCAAGCACTACGTGTATGCTCCACAAGATATTGACCTCAATGCGCTGGTCAGACGATGTCAGGAGATGCCTAGGTAAAATAACAACAATATACAGGGTATCCCACGAAACATGACAGTAGCAAGACGATTTGAACGTCGTCTTTGATTTTTTATATACTTTGCTGCATTAATTTGCGAACCTAATTTTAAAAGTAAAATTCTAGAGATAGTCCTGATATTTCCAAAATTTGGTCTACAGCTTATCTGTGCTTTCAATATTAACGGAGATAGGTAGAATTTCGTTAAGATTTCGATTATTTGGGTTTTTTTTACCAAAATTGAAATCTGAACAAAATTCTTAATATCCCTGGAAATATTAACAACACAAAAAAAGGCAGACTACATTTTGAAAATGCCAGGAATATTGTGGTTATTGTTTCAAGAATCATACATGTTAAAGTTGGTTGACGACTGAATGTTACAAATAAATTCCAAGATCAAAGACGACTATAAAGTCTTCTTGCTACTAGAGTACAAAGAGTACAATAATACAGTATGCTCCCTAGACTGTCCATTTCAATTTCGAATTTTTTTTTGTAAATCTTAAATGTCCCTCTTAAAATAGTGGCTAAAGATGGGTCGATAGTTCATTAGTTCTATATGCAGTTAGAAAAACATGGGGGCCACACTAAACTAAGCTTTCGATATGTACTGCAGTGATTTTCAGTACACTGACCGAAGAAATATCTGGTTTTAGTTGAAAGTGGGGCAGCCTCTTTTAACCCCCTTCACAATTGCTCTCTTTATGGAGGGGAGGGGGGAAAGCAAGCCGTACCCATATCACGCACCTCTGCCCCTTTAGTAAAAGTAAATTCAACCTATATGAAGCATAAAGTCTGACTGCATCAACCAGCAAGTCCGGTCCATAGAGCTAGGTGCAGTACAAACTGGGAACGGAAAGGTTGACCCAGCTCGGTATAACCTCCATCCCGAAATTTACTCATAGCAACATAGCAACATTTAAACATAGAGTTGCGGCAACACGCTGACTCATAGCGCTTCCCAGCCAAACCCCTATATCCACCTGCAAAATGTCATTAATTTTAAGAGCTTATTATAGAGAAATGCAGCATTAATTTAAGATTTTAAAAACATAAAATATAAAATCAGATAGATAGATAGATAGATAGATAGATAGATTTAGATAACTCTAAACCGAATCACACGCAAAACTGTATTAGTTCTGGTAAAAATTGAACTTCTCTCTACCTTCAAAACATTTCTAGAGAAGATCAATATCAGCCGGCATGTACTAAATATTATATTTTAGGTGAAAATCGCAATAATAGTTACCAACTATTGCCCCATGGAGCGAGAATGATTACTTATATTACCAAAAAATTTGATCAATATGATTATGGTATAGTATAGATGTCATGACGCTTTTAAAATCTTAGATTAACGCTGCATTTCTCAATAATAAGCATTTAAAAGTAAAGACATTTTACCGTAGGATATAGGGGTGCAGCTAGGAAGGGCTTTGGGCGAGTGCGTTGCCGCAAATCTATGTTTGTGAGTAAATTGGGGGCTGGAGGCTATATGGGTGAGGCTTGCCCCCCCCCCCCCTTCTTTGCGACTATAACAAAATATTCACTGAAACCTCAAAAGGTTCAAGTGCACAGCACAAATAAGACTTATAACCTCTGGTAAAAATAACATTTCTTGTTTTCCATAAAAACAACCTAAAGGGACAGTAAGTGTAATTTCACAACGGTACGCTTTTCAAGGACGAGAACAGATATCTCAGTGTATATATCTAAAATGTTGTAGATGAAGGCGAAGCTTTAAAATTGGAGTGTACGCTATATCCGACGCGGGTTTAAAAATTTGAGTGCAGCCTTGCCAATCGGGAGAAATTTTACCCGTTTTTGGAAATCTGGGAATTTTTAACCCAATGGGGATTTATCAAAAATTGCGGTATTTCTGGGGAGTTTAAAACTTGCTGATATATTTTGTAAATTGGACCTAAAACAATGAAATTGTCTAAAATTCATAACATTTTCTGTCAGGGACGAATACAGGATTTAAGTGAGGGGGGTGCCAGATTTATTTCGGAACAAAAACATCCAGATTTAGGAACAACATTTTTTTCAAGTAGATATTTTTCATGTGTTGCACTAAGTTTTCTTTTCCTTATGTGCTATTAAGGAGCAATTCTGAAATCTCAGGGGGGTGCTACGCCCCCCCCCTGAATCTGTCAGGTGGGCGAAGGTCCTGCCGCCCCCCCCCTGTATCCGCCCCTATTTTCTATCATGAATTATGTTTTAAACACAGTTGTAATCATGATCTCAACCCAATCTAATAACAGCTGTTAAAATATTGATAAATGCTTGATTTTAAGGGGCTTTTTTAACTTGATAACCATTTAAAGCACTTTTATTAATGCGTTTTCAGTACTTTAAAAAAATGGGGAATTTTTAGTTGAAATGGAGAATTTTCAGATCAGAAATTGAGAATTATATTCTCTGAGAGTTGACAACGCTGTTTGAGTGTGAATATTTATATTCACAAGAATGGCCGTTGTGAATCTAAGAAATCTCTCTTTAAATGTAGGATTACTCGAAATTACGCTAAAAGCCCAAAGAGAATAGAATATATATTAGAGGGGAATTTAGAGAATCTCTCGGTATGAATTTTTTCAGTCCCTTTCAGCCTGAAAGGGAGTTCAAAGTGTACAAATCATGTAAATGTTCACACATATATGCAGTAGAGTACAAAGAGTACAATAATACAGTATGCTCCCTAGACTGTCCATTTCAATTTCGAATTTTTTTTTGTAAATCTTAAATGTCCCTCTTAAAATGTAGGGTTACTCGAAATTGCGCTAAAAGCCCCTTTAGAGTTAATATCCATTCTGTTCTATAAAGCTGGTTCTATGCTGAAATATATTTAAATGGAAAAAGAATTTATTAGATTTGGGAAATGTTCCCTGCATCTGACTTTGTCACATAATAAATGATTTCTTTAAGCATGACAATTCCATTTTCTCTCACACTGCGAAGATAAAATAAAATTGTAAATTCATTTTTCAAGAACTTTTTAAAATCAGTAACAAATTGGTAATGTGTTAAATACCATAAAATTAATAGTTTTAAATGTTTTTTTATTATTTCTTGCATTAAGAGAAGGGGGGGGGAGGTTAAATTCTGATATATTAATTTTATCCTAAACATCGACTGTAGGTTTCATCATCTTACTATTACGCCGGTAATGAAGGTAGATTAAATCTTTATTGGTTCAGTTTTTACACTGAATATATGACAAGATTAGTAAAACATATATATATCATTATTAAACATGTTTCTAAATATACCAATAAAGCTCAGAGCCCAAAACTTAAGACAGGGTATCATTATGAAAACCAGTTTTGAAACCCGGGTTTCATGAATGGGGTTAGGCCGTTTTGTGGATATCAATATTTGTGTGATGAAATATTATTTTATTTACTTTCTTCATATTTTCTATTTTTTTAGAACCTCTTAAATCTAAATCTACACAAATGTTAAGACCCCCAAAAGGAAACTCGGGAGTTTCGTTCAACAATTTAAATTTCTGACTCTGGTGGATGAATACAGTTGTTACATCTAAATGGGTTCCTATACCACTTATTTACTATATATGAGAAGTAGATTGTGAGCTTACAGTACGCTTCAATGTTTACAAATACAAAACCGGAATAAAGTTTAGCCAGAAGATGCAACTGATTCAACTGATATATGTAACAAAAACCTTCAATTTCCAGGAAGAGAGAGCACCAGGAGAAGAAGAGTTACCAGATGCCAGCTCCTGCTCCAGGTTCAGTTAATACACTGGAGAACGGAGTTTACTCTCATGCAAGCGAACCTAGAGGTAGGTTGGTATCTGGATAAAATCAGAAACTCCTTCTTCGAACTGCATAATCTCAGATTGAATTAAAATTAATGTTAGAATTTTGTGGCGAAATGTTATAAAATTTAAATTTAGATTTTTCTTCAAATTTTTAAAGTTTTATTCTTTGTTAATTTTATAAGTATCAATTTTGAACTTTAAAGAAAAATTTTGAAAATAATTTCTATATTCAACAGAAGTAATTGTGTAGAAAATTTTAGATAATTTCACACTTGAGGCCCTTCGGGAAAATTCCTTTACAAAAGAAAAAAGTGAATTAAGAAAATAATTAGATAAACAATATCTTAAATTCATACGAGAGACAGAAATTTTGTCAGAATTAAATTAATAAATACCAACACATAATTATAAACTTTGATTTAAATAAATATCATTCTATTTTTCTTTTAAAAACTCTGAACTCCTATTTGAAATTTGACTTCATTTATGTACAATTTTCCAGAGCTAAAAGTCTAAACCCCAGATTCAGTTTTGATCTTGATTTGATTCGAGTGAATACTGAGATCATCTCCGGATCAGAATCTTAGAACCGGTTCTAACTAGTTGCAACACCGAATGAATCAGGCCCCCTCCTGTGAGTTGATTGCATAGTTTAATGAGAGAAATATCTCGAGGTTTAAACATTTATTTTCAGCTGTGACAACCTCACAGATCAGAGGTTTAATACGGTCAGCAAACCTAGAGCAGCTCGAGCAGCTTATCATGGATGGACAGGTAAACCTGGAGCATTTTATCATGAATGGACAGGTAAACCTGGAGCAGTTTATCATGGATGGACAGGTAAACCTGGAGAATTTTATCATAGATAAACAGGTGAACCTGGAGCATTTTATCATGGATGGACAGGTAAACCTGGAGCCGTTTATCATGGATGGACATGTAAACCTGGAGCATTTTATCATGGATGAACAGGTAAACCTGGAGCAGTTTATCATGGATGGACTGGTAAACCTGGAGAATTTTATCATAGATGAACAGGTTAACCTGGAGCATTTTATCATGGATGAACAGGTAAACCTGGAGCATTATCATGGATGGACTGGTAAACCTGGAGAATTTTATCATAGATGAACAGGTTAACCTGGAGCATTTTATCATGGATGAACAGGTAAACCTGGAGCATTTTATCATGGATGGACAGGTAAACCTGGAGCAGTTTATCATGGATGGACTGGTAAACCTGGAGAATTTTATCATGGATGAACAGGTTAACCTGGAGCATTTTATCATGGATGAACAGGTAAACCTGGAGCATTTTATCATGGATGGACAGGTAAACCTGGAGCAGCTTATCATGGAAGAACAGGCAAACCTGGAGCAGCTTCGGATGGATGGACGGATAGGTAAACCTGGAGCAGCTTAAAATGGATGAAAGGATAGGTAAACCTGGAGCAGCTTATCGTGGATGGACAGATAAGTAAACCTGGAGCAGCTTAAAATGGATGAACAGGACTTGAATTTTCTCTGTATCTCTAAGGTTTAATTAAAAATTAAAAATTCATAAACCCTTCTGGTTGAAAAAGAAAAGTAAATGAGTCTTTGCCACAAACTCAATTTTTTCTATTTTTCTAATCCACCATTACAACCTGATTGTGTAAACCTTTTATCTTTTAAACTTAGATTGCTTGAATTAGCAAAATTCATGATTTAAAATAGTTAATACCTACGATATAGGGTTTCAAAGATATAGGGATTAGAAAATCAGAGTTTGTGACAAAGACGTAATTTCTTTCTTTTCAAAAACGTTAAAGCATTACGAGCCAAAATAATATTGTTATAAATAGTCACAGAATAGAATTGATTGATGTAAAGGGAAAAAGTTTTCTATAGATTGATTCAAGTGTATTGTTATAATTCAATTATTTCTATCTTTACAATTTATTTACAGTACATTATATTATAACATTATATGCAAAGAGTTTTTATATTATGTACAGTACATCTAAACAATATATGTCAATAGTACATCTCTAGTACATCTCAACAGTACACGGCAATAGTACATCTCAACAGTACATCTCAACAGTACACGTCAACAGTACATCTCAACAGTACATGTCAATAGTACATCTCAAAAGTACATGTGAACAGTACATCTCAACAGTACATCTCTACAGTGCATCTCAACAGTACATCTCAACAGTACATCTCAACAGTACATCTCTACAGTACATCTCAACAGTACATCTCTACAGTACACGTCAAACTAAAGTACATTGCACGTAGGATTGAAATCTTATTTGCTTTCCATCATAATTCCTTTTATTGAAGAGTTATTGTGAAAAAAACTCAATGTTTTGAATATCTGATATGTATCTATGATGCTGTTCCAGTATAAAATCAAAACTAGAGGAGCTACGGGGTCACAAAGTCGTAACAGCACAAAGTTTACGTTTGTCTGTATACGCCTGCAGTACGGTTGCAGTTTTTACAAAATGGCGCTTTTACACTTGTTTACAGTTAACAGCTCTCTATTCGCTATCTGCTCTTCTGAGGGAGTGCAGGCCAGTTGTTTTCAATGTTGAATTTGAAAGTATGAAAACTAAGATTTCAAATAATTATTTTTTGTTAATTTCCCTTTCTTCATTATAACGTAGTGCTAATATAGTTTTGTCCCTGACACAATATAAAAAGTTTGATTAAGAATAAGAAAAGTTTTAAAAATAAAAAAAGAAAAGAAAAAAATCGCACAATTTAAAAAGAAGGACTAAAGGTCTTAAAAACTTTAGATGTACATTAATTATATTTGGAAACATGATTAAACAATCTGTAAAAACTCTAAAGAACCTGAAATCAGTAAATTTAAGTTTTTAGCTTTTTTGTTCATAGCTTCAATTTCATCAATCTATATTTAGTTTGTCTGTGCTATTCAAATATAACCAGAGCTGAAAAACTTTTAACCCCGATTACTTAATCTATCCAATAGACACACTTTTGATTTTCTTCTTAAACCGTTCTTTCTTGGATATATTAGCGAAAAATCAAAAACCGGTGTTTTAAATTAGAGAGTTAGTCCCATTTCTTTATATAATCTTAAATGGCGCGCAAAATTTCAAATTTATCAGCTTCATATACGCGACTCTGATTAATTGAATTTTATACACTTCTCAGGATACAAGCTTACAAGTTAGTCTCGAGATTAAAAAAAAGAGAGGATCACGCATAAATCTCGATATCCACCATTCTAAAGTTTTCAGCTCAGGCGTCCTTTTTTTAGTGACAATTTTGCTTTTCAAGCCGCCTTTCTCATTGTACTAGCGGTTTTTTGTTTAAGTTTGCGAATTTTAAACAGTCGACATCTTTTCCAAGTAAAATTTTCAATTTTGACCATCCATAAACCTGGGGTCATATGTTTTGCCTCCACAAAAAATGTTGGCCAAATCGGCTCAGCCATTTTGAGATTTATCGGATACAAGCAAACAAACATTCCAGCCAAATATGTAAAGATTACAACAGAGCCACCGCACATGTAATTGTAAATCCGCGGTACAGTCCTAACTAGGACCGGAAAAGTGGGTCCAGCTCGGATATTCAATTGTATACCGGTTGCGGGTGGAGCAAATCATGAGCATATCGCTATCTTTCTATTATAAATCATTGCATAATGAGAGTTCTAAAGTTTAAAAAACTTGATAAATATAATGATTTTACGTTTAATACGAGTCTCTTCTATTCATTAAACTTGTTGATTGCGTTTAAACGACAGTGCACGTGTATTTTATTCAATAAGAAAGTATTTTATCCTCATTATTTTCAAATATAAAGTTATCGCGCAATAAGGAAGATTTAAACCATCTGAGGCCCCAAGGAGTAAGAAATGTCAAATATTTGATTTTATACAAAATAATTTAAGATTTTTTTAACAATGGCTTTTGAGAAAAAGAAGCTGTTTCTGAAAAGAAAATTCTAATCCGAAACAAAAATGAAGTTTATTGTTAACAATGGTCTTTGCCACAAACTAAAATTGTATTGTATCACTAAATCTTTGTATCCTGGTGCAGGTGTAAATCTTAAATATTAAAAATTTAGATTATTTGAGCTGACAGAATTGAAAGTCTTTACCACAAACTAAAATTTTCTTATCCCTATATCTTTGTAACCTAATGGTGTAAATTTTTTTATCAAAAACTTAGATTATTTGAGCTAACAGAATTTAAAGTTTGAAATATCTGAGGTCTACGACATTGGGTTACAAAGATATAGGGGTTAGAAATCAGATTTTGTGGCAAAGACCCAAACCCTTTGAAGTTTGTTAATTTGATTGTAAATGAAAATATTACAAGAATGTAAACATATCCTAGAACATTATTGGAGATCAATCCAAATTACAAAAGTTTGATCACAAATACAGAATGTACAAGGCAAAGAGTGACGTCAAATGAAGTATCCCCTTTAAATTAGATTTCTGTGGTATATATATAAATATATTTATTATTTGTATTGATTGAAAGCATAACAAATATAAATTGAGCAAGAATCTAAATTTGACTTATATTTCCATTATGACAATAATGTTTTTAGGGGAGTAAGCTGGTTGGGGAAAATGCTTCAGATCCAAAAGTTCGCGCATTTCTCAAATCCGTTCCTGGTCTAATGGTAAGTTAGATTTAATGTTTTCAAAATGTGATTGATTGGTTTACGTATAGTTTATGCACATTGTTACAATATGGCATGGTAGTTGAGATGAGAAGAGTTTAAAGGAATTGAAAACTTGCGAAAAAATCCAATTTTCTCGTCCCTTTATCTTTGCAACCCAATTAATGCTATTTTAAATTCAGATTATTAAATCTGTCAGAATTCATAATAAAATATCACTCTACACAAGAATTAAAGATTAAGAAAAAGTTGTGAAACTTTTACTGTTTCTTCTATTAAATATCTTTCATTTTTCTAATATTATGAAACTGCAAGGAAAACGGAACAGAAAAACAAAACCTTAGAAGAAAAAGTGTAGTTTAAGAGTTTTTTCTTTTAGAGAAAAAAGAGTATTTACTTTCTAACTATTTAATTAATGTTATGCTTTATTCTCCTCTGCATTAGTTATTAAAGAGACTGTAGACGTTGTCTAATCAAAGTTTTCGTCTTGCAAATTATTTATTTTCAATTGTGGTTTCTCTATTAAAGTGGCATGCGGATGCAGGCTACAGAAACAATAGAGGAAACTGCCAAAAGTAAACACTTGTCAAGCAAAAAACCCCAATATATTTAATATCTTTAATAATATTGATCAGATAAAGGTTTAATGGTACCGTCGTAGACTGAATTGATCATAAGCACCAAGCACAACAGAAAAACAAAACCGGAATAAAAAGAAAAAAACAAAATAAAGTTTTCTTTTCCCCTAGGGCTAAATAAATATGTATTGCGACTGAGCTCAACTCTCTCAAAAAGTTGAGAAATCTAGCCCCCCCCCTCTCCCTTTTTTATTTAGATACCTTTCAGTTTCGTTGGAAAAATCAATGATCCAATTCCATATTTTTATTTAATGCATAATATTTTCTACGATTATTTAACAACAAATTGTACACTTTTACTTGAATTCATGTTTTTTTTAGCGTTGAAACAGGAAATGAATTGTTTATTGTTAGAAAGAGAAATAAAATTCGGAAACCCAATCTTTATCATCTTCTGGCTTTCAACATTAAATTATATTTATCAAATAAAGAGAATTCATTCATTGAAGGGGGAGGGAGTATTGAGACATAAGGTCCCACCTAAAATATAAATAACAAAGGATGAAATAAAAACATAAAAAAATGTTGAACAAAAAGCAACAATCCCATTATGTGAAACATATTTTTATACTTCTCTGCAACTCTGTGTCGTAAATCCTTTGATATTTCAAGCAATTAATTCTGGTTAATTAAATGGTCTGAGTTTGAAATACCAAAGGTGTTCACCATCAGGTAGCAAAGATACATGAATTAGAAAATTTGAGTTTGTGACAAACACTCAATTCCTTTATGAAGCATTAAAGGTGTAAAGTTTGGGGTTGCTTTCTGCCTATGCCCAGCTTCCCGCCTCCTCCCCACACACAAAAAAAATGTTATTTGAATTAAAATTCTTTCAAAAAAAAGGTATTAAATATATATAACCTTGATACTCGGAGGAATTTAGATTTCACACAAAGGAATTAAGTTCTTGCAACAAACTCAAATTTTTTAATCCCTATATTTTTTAAATCTGATGGTGTAAAAAGGTTCACTTTTCAATCAGAATTTTAATTTTTTGAAATATCTAAGGTCTACGGCACCGGGTTGCAAAGATTAGAAAATTAGCGTTTTTGGCAAAGAACTAGATCCTTTAAAAAATGTCCGCTTTTTCTCGAATTTACACTCCCCCCCCCCTTCCTGTCATTTTAGATTTGCCATTAATGAAAATATTATATACAGGAAAAAATAGAGTCTCTCCATCTAGCGGTGAAAGAAGGAAACTTGAAACAAATCCAGGAAATCCTTGCAAAGAAAAAGTTGCAAAATTCCAAGGTATTGGAAAGTTTGACAAATTTATTATTGTGTATGATAATAATGATATTAATATTATTGTGAATAATATTGTTGTGCATAATGTAGACACTTCGAAAAATTAATTTACAGCACCAAGGAAATTTTTAAAAGCAAACACGTTTTAAAAATTGTTGAAAAGGTGCAGTTTTCTTCTTTTAAAACTTATTATATATATTAGGATTTTAAGGCGCTTCAGGTCCATCTTCTATTTCAATCGTCAACATGTTCTCTTTATGTACATTTTAAAACAAAACAAACAAAAAAGTTCGCAGATTTCATAACAAAATTTAGTGGATTTTAAAATTTTCAGAAGTTTAATGAAAATTGAAATTTGTTGGAGGCAAATTTTTGAAATTTTGATCGTTTGTAAAACTTTCTTGTGGCCACGTGAGGTCCCACACAAAATTTAGGCCCGATCAGTTCAGTCGTTTTGACGCTTGTCGGATGTAAACAGACAGACAAGCAAAGTATATAAAAACCAGGCTTTTAGGGCGCTTCGCGCCCATCTTCTATTTCAACTCTTGATTGTGGCAAGTTTGCGGATTTCATAATAATTTGTCTGTTTGTTTGTATCCAATAAACGTCAAAACAGCTGAACCGGTCAGGCCTAAATATTGTGTGGGACCTCACGTGACCACAAGAAAGTTTTATAAACGATCAAAATTTCAAAAAAAAAAAATATTTTTATCTTAATTATTGAATTTTGTAAAATTTTAAAACGCATAAAAATATTATGAAATCCGCAAATCTATAAAAAAATTCATACTGTGCAAAGAGAAGATGCTCACAGATAAATTAAAAATTAACGGTTGAAAACGAAGATGGACGCGAAGCCTAGTATTATAAATGTTACTAAATGTTCTGATGACACATAAATATTTTAATTTTTTAAAAAGTAGTTGAGCCACTCCTAGTTTATACTTAAATCTATCATAATTACGTTCTTTACATAAATTTATTGTATGTACTTTATGTACATAAATCTATTATATGTGCTTTGTGTACATAAATCTTTTATACGTGCTTTATGCATGGACATAAATCTATTATGCGTTCTTCATGACATATGTGCTTTATGACATAAATCTATTATATGTGCTTTATGTACATAAATCGTTTATACGTGCTTTATGCACATAAATCTATTATGCGTGCTTTATGACATATGTGCTTTATGACATAAATCTATTATATGTGCTTTATGTACATAAATCTTTTATACGTACTTTATGTACATAAATCTATTATGCGTGCTTCATGACATATGTGCTTTATGACATAAATCTATTATATGTGCTTTATGTACATAAATCTATTATATGTGCTCTATGTACATAAATATATTATAAGTGTTTTATGTAAATAAATCAACCAAAAGTACTATAAGTACAAAATTCCCCTGTACAGGATGAGAACGGAGTTGGAATTCTCTCAAAGGCAGTCTACTACAACCAAAAGTAATATTTATAATAATAATAATTTGTTTCAAATAAAAGAAATATTTGGTCTAGAGTTCCTACTTTGTATAAAAATAGTGCGAAAGCTTAAAAGGATGAGTGGGTTCTTAAATTGTCCTCAGACAGATTTTTTTATTTATCCGTAAACTATTTCTTTTACATAAATTATTTTTAACAATGAATTTAAGATTTTATTGAAAATTTATTCGGAATAAAATGAGTTTTTTAGTGAAACATAGACTTATTAACTAAAATTTTTTAACAAAATTTTATCTTGACAATGAATAGCGAATGAATTGAACACGCCTTCAATTTTAATCTTTCAATCACAAATCTTTGAAACCTGGTTTCATTTTTGATATTTCAAACTATGAATTCTGTTAGACCAAATACTAACAAGTTTAGACAATCCAGGTGAAAATACATAGTTTACATTACATCTATTGATAAAATCCTGAAAAGATTTGTTTAGAGAGGTTGCTGACTGGATTCTTGAGAAGTATCCTGATACAGCGAATATTAAAGACCATGTGAGTATGCAGAGTACAGATATATCACACAACAAACAAATATTGTCCATGTCAAATTGACCCTCTCGCTTCAAATATTCCCAACTGTACCCTGTACACCTGTTTCTCAGATAATCATAATTGAGATAATCTCAAATATAAAAAATTTGAATTGATTTCTATTTTACAATGCAAAGCTTATTTTATTCCATTTTAATAAGATTTAATTTTAGTTTCCTTTTCCACAATTTGGTTTTAAATTAAATTTAATTTCCTAATTTATGTACACTATCTGTACACTGTCTGTACACTATCTGTGCACTGTCTGTACACAACTGTACACTATCTCTATACTGTCTGTATACTTTCTCTACACTGTCTGTTCACTATCTGTACACTGTCTGTACACTACTGTACACTATCTCTATTCTGTCTGTATACTATCTTTTCACTGTCTGTACACTATCTGTACACTGTCTGTACACTACTGTACACTATCTGTACCTTATCTGTACACTGTCTGTACACTATGTGTACACTGTATTTACACAACGTGTACACCATCTGTACACTGCTGTACATTATATGTACACTATCTGTACACTATCTGTACACCATCTGTACAGTATTGTACACCACTGTACTGCACAATTAGGATTCTGCAATTTTGCATACAACGTTTCCGTATTTAGTCCAAAAAAATCTATTTTTTTGCCACTTAAGCTTACTCCAAATCAGATAGAATTTCAAAAGTGATCGAAAGAATCTAAATATCATTTCATAATTTTCCAGCAGATCAAAATGTCTGATCGTCCCATCTACTAATTATAAATATGATCCCTGCAAATTCGATCCAGTACGACAGATTTCGTCAAAAAAAAATTTTATTTATAATTTTCCCAATAAAATTCAGATGAATACAAAAATACATAATATATGAAATAGGCTAGCCTGTCAGGATTCGGTAGAATTTTCATAGTCTGTTAAAATTGAATTTCCTTTTATTGACAATATTTGAATAAAAACCTTTTTCCTTGAATAAATCAGCTTTTATTGGTTTCAGGAACAAAATGATTTTATTTGTCATCTTTTGGAGAAACAAGAGAAGTTTCCGTTTTCTTGTGCTCACTTTATACCCATACTTTGTTAACAAATTTGGAAATTTTACAACCAATGGCAACTCTACAAATAATTTCTCAGATTTTAAATTTCAAAATGTAACAATTTTTACAAAATTTACAATCAACGGCTTCTAAAGTCATTTGGTGTAGTAAAAACCAATCAGATTAGTTTTGGTCTCTGAATCTAGAGTCTTAGCGATCATGCTTTTTAGATGGGCGGGGAAAATATAACTCTAATAATATAACGGAAAAAATAAAACCACTAAAAATATAACCATGTTTGGACCAAAAATATAACCATGGTTGGACCAAAAATATAACCATGTTTGGAGCAAAAATATAACCATGGTTGGACCAAAAATAAAACCACCAAAAATATAACCATGTTTGGACCAAAAATATAACCATGGTTGGACCAAAAATAAAACCACCAAAAATATAACCATGGTTGGACCAAAAATATAACCATGTTTGGACCAAAACTATAACCATGGTTGGACCAAAAATATAACCATGTTTGGACCAAAACTATAACCATGGTTGGACCAAAAATATAAATACTAAAAATACCAAAAATATAACCAACCCAAAATATAACTAGCCAAAAATATAACCATTTTTGGACCAAAAATATAAATACTAAAAATACCAAAAATATAACCAACCCAAAAAAAAACCATGTTTGGACCAAAAATATGAATACTAAAACCACCAAAAAAAAACCATGTTTGGACCAAAAATATAAATACAAAAATACAATTATTTTTTATCCAAAATTATTACTATTTTTGAACCAAAATATAACCATTTTTTTAACCAAAAATATAACCATTAAGGGATTTTTTAATGATGAAAAATTTTTATTAATGCGTAAATGTGATTCCTCTGAATTTTATAAAATAAAAGCCATAAAATCCTTTTTCAATAAACAGAAAATGTTCTAGTTAATATAAGAAACTTACCAATATACGAAGAATCAGTGTAAAATATCTATCTCTACGAGTATTCGAGTAAGTTGTACACATTCCTTTCCTCTCAGAGTTGACAAGAGTTGGTCATAGGTATACAATATACATACCTTCAAGAGAATATAAAAAAGAAAACCTTCGTATGCACAGAACGCTACAAGTATACATGTAAAGTCTTTGCATATATCGACACTCGACAGGGCATATAAAACCTATTTTTGGTCAAATATGGTTATATTTCTGGTAATTTAAGCTTTTGGTCGCGATTTTTAGTGAAAAATGGTTATAGTTTTGGTCAAAAAGGCTAAAAAAGGGTTAAATGATTGGTCGAAAAAATTGTATTTTTAAAAAATGGTTATATTTTGGTAAAAAAAATTATTTTTGGTTAAGTAAATGGTTATTTATATTTTTAGCCAAAAAAGTTATATATTTTTAGCCAAAAAAAGTTATATATTTTTAGTCGAAAAAAGGTTTATTTTTGGTCGAAAATAGTTATATTTTTGGTCGAAAAAATTTATATTTTTGGCTTAAACAATGGTTATATCTTCGGTCAAAAAAAGTTATTTATATTTATATTTTAGGTTGTTATATTTTTGGTGGTTATATTTTGGCGGTTATTTTTATATTTATATTTTTGGTGGATATATCATTACCGTTATATTTTTCCCGCTCATCTAAACAGGATTGTACTCGGGTTGCTAAGTGTGACCATTAAGTATTGTAAGGTTAGTGTTTAATCATCAGTAGGCTTCACCAAAAAGACCATTCTATTCGATTCGTCCCCTCGTCCCCCCCCCAGAAAGATTTAGTACAATTTTACACGCTTGTTTTTTAGTACAGTATAAAGTCATACCGTGTATGTGTGTTAAAATTAAAATAAAATAATGTGTGTGAGATGTGTGTGAGTAAACCCATTATAACGAGGCCAGTGTTCTGAAGCCTACCTGGAGTAAAGGTGAGAACCCGTCCTGCCACTAATCAGTCCACCCAGCTTAAATATAAAAAATTCATGCACCGTCTTCAAACACAATACACATTCCAACCTGAGTTAACATGATATCATGAAACCAACCGGGGAGCCCTCAAAACTGAAACATTTTTAAACCTGAGAGCAGTATTCTGATCATGACTCTACCCAAGCTCGATACAGTAAACTCCCAACCCTACTCCTCAGCACCATGGAGTCCTAAGAGTACTTCTTCTATGAGTCCTTTATCTGTTGAGAGTTCACAAAAGTTCTTTCCTGAAAACCAGGTCAGTTCGCGCCAAATTTTCATAATATATCATCACATTTACATAGTCATCCCATTTACATGGTTTACAGAATATTATGAATATGCATTTCACTTTATCTCAAAATCTGCTTTTCTGATCCCAATATCTTGACAACCCAATGCCGTAAACCTATGAATACTGTTAGATCAATGTTTGAAATATCAAAAGATATACACCATCGGATCTCAAAGATATATGGAATTAGAATCTTTGAGTTTGTGGCAACGACTCAATTCCTTCATTAATAAATTCCAGAAAAAGTTGCCCCACCCCCTTTTTGAATGTAAAAATCGGCTCAGTTTTAGTATCGGAACAGAAACTGTGGAATTGAATCATAGCAGATTTACTTTTAGAAATGGCCGGTTTTATCTAGAAACAAAAAATTTCATACCGTGAGAGCCAGAAAACTGTTAAATATAAAGACGATATTAAAGTAATAATTAAGCGTATTTAATTTTGTTACAGAGCAAATAGTTTTACTAATAACTTATTAGATCATCACTAATCACGAGAAATGGATCTGTTTACACTGCATAGTTACTGATTATCATGGTTATTAGACTATTTAAAGTCAAAACTTGAACATAAAAGTCGTCTTCCATTTCAGAGTTTTCTGGTTCTGGTACAAAGAGTTTAATGAGTAATTATAGGTGTAAGTTTAATATAGAGAAACGGCGGGTGAAATTATCAATATGATTTTTCCAATTATTAAAACTGTATTCCCCGTGGTTCTTTAGGCAAAGTTTTCCCCCCTGGAAATCATACTTATAATTGCTTAGAGGAAAAAACTACCGAGTTTCCATTAAACTTTGAATTTTTAATATTGCAACAAATACTAAAAGAATTCAATTGATTTGTTCTCAGTATGAATTGATTAGATTACGATATAATCTATAAAGCATTTTAACCACGCAAAAAAGGCATAATTTCATTGAGAGTTTTTAAAAAAATTCTTGAGAATATTTTTGGCAAAGATGGGATCATGGGAGTCAAGGGGGATGATCCAAAACTATAAATCCGCAAGGAGGGGTGGGGGAGTGTTAAATAATAATAAAGAAATCATTGCATAAAAACCTAATTATTTTAACTGATTATAAAAGGCCCAGGTTTATATTTATTTGTCAATTATACTAGATACTTCTTTTAAGGAAAAAACAGGTTCATAACAAAAATAATCATAAAATTGCTTGTTGATTAAGGAAATATAATAACATAATTAGGTTTTTAATTAGATTCATTTTTACAACAAAACTGGAATTTTACTTTAGCCCATGAATGGACACAAAATAAAACTAGATTATAAAAGAATTCAAATTGATTTTATTCTCAGTTTAATCAGAAACTTTTAAATGGTCTTCATTGATTGAAACATGTTCGAGAACCCAAAAATGAATGTTGAGAATGTTCTTGAATCCCAAAAAAAGATTTTAAAATATTTGTATTCCAAATTCGTATTGCCTGACTAAAAAAATTTGTAATCTATTGCCTGGCTTTACCAAGAGGGGTGCGCGCAACTCTATGTTTATTTACGGGTCATGAACTGCAGTGAAAAATGGTGAAAATGTCATAATTCAAATTCTACAGTTTCATAAATTCGTTCTAATGAATTATGTGTTTTTTTCAGGCTGATTTGAAGAATTTACACTCCGTGACCGCCTCCCAATCCATCCACCATGCTTCCAGCACAAACCGGTCCATGAACGCCTATTACAAGCATCTAAACCGGTTTAATATCGAGAGGTCGACGAGTCGAGCAAACTTGAACCGGTCTGCCAAGTCAGGCCGGCCCGGGATCCTGAAGCCGTTGAAGCTTATGCAAGCTGAAGATAAGGAGCAAATGGAATGGATTTGTGGAAACCTGTGGGCGGAATCAAATCCCAAATATTTAAGATCTAAAAGTGGAAATCTTACAAAACTTCAAGATTTCAAGCAGCAAATAAAATGCAAGTATATATAATAATTTTCAAAGTAATTGGAAACAAAAAAATCAATATTAATTTTATTCTTTCTTGAGCGTGGTAAAACATGCTTAGTTTCTAATTTCGATTGGGGTTTAATTTTTGTTTTAAAATAAAAGAATCAGCAAAGTGAACGCGTAAAAAACAAAGAAGAGACGTCTTTACAGCTTATAGTGCATTTTTTTCAGATTTAAGGTTTGGTACAGCCACAGATATTTTTTAGCGCATTTTTACAAGATTATTTCATGTGTCGTCATTTGTCACCAGTCAGTCCTAAACTTGTTACTAAACTTGAACGCAGTAGGGCTGTTTTTTCAGGTTTTTCTTTTCCAGAAATAAAGATAAAGGGGTTATCCTGGTATTTCTAAACAGGGGCAGATAAAAACATCCAGATTTAGGAACAACATTTTTTTAAGATAGATATTTTTCCTATTTTGCACTAGGTTTTCTTTCCCTTAAGTGCTATTGAGGAGCTATTCTGAAATCTTAGGAGGGTGCGAAGGTCCTGCCGTCGCCCCCCCCCTCTGTATCCGCCCCTGTTTCTAAAGGCATCCGGAATTGTTTAAGTTTTGATCGTAAATTTTAAAAGTTTGTCTAAAACACTGGTTCTTTTGTTTTAGTGAGAACAGGAGTATTTTCCGTTTAAAGATAATCTTTATCCCTAATTCGCTGAAAAATAAGACAATTTTGATTTAAAGGATTTAAAGTGGTTGAATGTAACTTAATTTGATGTTCAAATTTAGTAAAATATATTAAATCACTGTCGTCATCACGGTACATAGTGTATACACGTGATTTTGGGATGTATTTAAAACCATGAAGAGCGTGGGGGGAGGGGGGGCTTACATTGGGGACGTTAAGGACAGATACTGTCAAATCCTAAAAGTTTTAGATTTTAGAAAGTAAAAAATGATGATTTGATAATTTATTTTAAAAAAATAATAAATATCTCAGGTTTTTTTACAGTATCTTTGAAGTAAAAAACCCAGAATATATAAAAAAACATATTCCAATCCTGGTTCATGCTAATACTAATAAAGAATTTGGAAAGAAATAAATAGTAGTAAATCTGCAGTGAACCATGGTCTAAGTCTAAGTCTCATCTTATGTGGGTAACTCTGTAAAAGTTTGTCAAATTTATATAGTTAAAAACCCTCTTGAGAAACAAGTGAAATAAATAAACTAAAATCTCAAGTTTAGATTATTGATTTGAATTTTAAAATATATTTGAAAATTTCTTGAAAAAGATACAATGCAATGATTCCCTCTGAAAAAAAGTTGTTTTTGCTCGGAATAAAATTTACGATCAAATATATTTTCTTGGTTTGAAATTGACCTCATTTACTATGAATACAATTATATTGAGATATAAACATTGTAAATGGTTTGAATAGTGAATAAATATTGTTTTGAAGAGGAAAGCTGAGTAAACTTGATAATATTTGGTTTCCTTTGGTAAAACTGTAATTACTTAGAATCAATTTGTACAGTGTACACCAAACTTGATAAAATGCAGGCTAAATTATTAAACGTATTGAACACTAGCATACAAACCATAGTTCTATAATCCCGATATTTTTGCAACCTAAAAATCTTTGATATTTTAAACTTCGACTATTTGATGTAACCGAGTTTAAGCTTGAAATATCAGAGGTCTACAACATAAATATAAGAATTAGAAACTTAGAATAAGAAACTGAGTTTTGCCACAAACTCTGATTTCTAACCCCTTTGTAATTGTAGTTGAGTGTAGACCTTTGATATTTCAAACTTCTGTTTCTATTAGATCAAATAATCTGAGTTTTAAATATAACCGGTGTACACTGTACACCATAAGGTTGCAAAGATATCAGGATAAGACAATTCAAGTTTGTTGCAAAAACTTAGTTTCTTTGTGTCGAGTGTTCCGCTTCTTTAAAAACCTTTTGTTTCAGATGATTCCCGGACAGGAGATGAAGATATAGATGATATGTCTGTTCCTCCGTCAACCAAGGTTTCTAGAACCAGGTTCAATCTGCCACCTAGCAGGAGGAATTCAGATGATAGAAATATTGGTTGGAAATCTTGCAGTCCTGATCAAAAATACAAGATCTCTGGATCCAGCATCTTAAATCGTTCTCTGCGAGATCTAACCTTCTCCGGAAAGAAGCCTCTTGCCAGATTAAAACCAAAGCTGAATGCAGATGAGTCAATATCTCCTGACACCCCTGAGTCTTTGGAGTCTACCCAATCAAGTGCCAAATACTTAACAGATCTTGAGTTTGAAACCACATCAGAAAATGAAACCGACGAACCTGTGATAATTGACAATATTAAGATTAAAAAGAATACTGAAACTGAAATCAGTGAAATTAAATCTGGTTCAAGAAAAAGCTCTGAATTTGCTGAAGTAGTTGACAATGAGGAGGAAGAAAATAATGATTTTAACTATGAATATACAATAAACAATGATTTAGATGCAGATGAGAAGCTGAAAGATAATCAATGTAATGTGAATGAGTTAAATGATAATAGTGAGGATGGGAGTAAAATTATGGAGAGCAACTCAATGGAGGAGCATGAAGACACAAATGAGATGAAATCAATGGAGAATACAAGTATGGAAGATGAGATGGAAATGGAAAGTGTTAAAGAAAACTCTTTTATAAACCAATTTCCAGAGTCTGCGAAGGAACCAATGGGTGAGGATGGATTAGAACATGATGATTCTTACTCTGACATCTCAGATACAAGTGATGATCTTCGTCTGAGTGATGTGACTTCTATAGAAGATGCGGATATATTAAACCCTAGTCTTCTGGATCATTTTGGCGCGGTCATCGAGATGGAGAAGGAGATTGATTTTGTTGGAACAAATCATAAGGAGGAATTAGAAATATTTACTCAAGGTGTGGTTGAACAGACAGAAGAGAAAGTAAATGTTCCTTTAAAGCAAAAAGATTCTTCAGAAGATTACCCTGAGATTGATCCCTCCCAGGTTGTGATGATAAATCAGAATATTCAAGTTGATCATGCTGATGTTTTGTTGAACCCTTTCCCCCTTCCACCTGTCACCCTTGAAGCTGCCATGGAAGATATTATTTCAAAAATTAAGACTCAAACATCTTTACAAGAACATAGAGAACCCTTCACCAACGGGTTTGATTTTGCATCTTTCAATTGGAAACCGGACTCAGAATTCTTTCAGTTTGGGAAGGAAATCAAAGCCCAAGATGCAGCTGAGAATGAAGTTAGAATCTTCAATTCTAATCCTAAATATGACACTGTGAAAAGACGCTCATTGCCAAAAAATCTAAGATTTGGAATAAAGCAGAGGACTAAAGGTTTTGATAATATCAAAGTACAAAAAATTTAATTTTATGTTTGAAAAATAAATATAAATTAATGTTTATTCTTTATTGTCCAGCTTGCTATATGGTTTCTTGTATTAATATTTTATAGATTCACTTCAGTTTTGACCAAAATATTATTGTTAGATTGAGAAAGGTTTTATTATGAGGAACAAAATGTAGTTAAGTACCATTAACCTAGTAATTAGTATTTTTATTGATATCCAACGTTTTTTATATTTACCATTTATAAACCTTTAAGTAAGTAAAGTGTTATCTAATATCTATCTGTGTCAAATGGAAACTATAGTTAAGTTATTTCTTTGAGGGGAAAATTTTTAAAAGCTTAGAGATTGTCTTTAAAGGGAGTGACCGGCAATGTATGGTAGTTGAACTGAGGAATGTAGTATTGTGGAGAATTTTTTTTAGGATTCATTTGATGCATACATAAAGTATAATGATGATGTATAATTACTTAATTTTAGCACAAAGTCGACGTTCAAAATCATCCATTTGGATGGTTGTTTTGAAAATCGTTATTTTTTAAATTATTAAATAACGACGACAAAAATTCTAGCGTGAACTATTTAGATGTTTAGGAACATATTTCTCAATAGAAATTTGTCAAGAAATCAATTTTAGGATCAAATATTTCATCATTATATTGGATTTCTTATTCTTTACGAATTTGTTCGCAGATTTCTACAAATTCATCAAATGTCAATAAAATTCCAGAAAAGAACTGAAACAGATTACTGATTACAGATTTCGATGATCAGAGTTAATTTTTTTTTTCTCAACCTGTTCCCAAACTAATTAATTTACTGTAGAATTTTTGTTACATTTTTTGTCGTTGTTATTTAATAATTTTTTTAAAATCGATTCTCAAAACGTAACCACCCGAATGGATGATTTTGAAAGTCGACTTTGCGCTCAAACGTTTTATATGTCTAAAATGAATCCTAAAACATTCCTCCACAATTCTACATTCTTAGTTTAAGTACAATACATTGCCAGTCACTCCCTTTTAAGAGAATATTATGCAACAGGATCCATTAAAGGGACTGTAAACTTAATTTCCAGTTATTCCCCTATGAAGGAGTTGCATTCCCGATTCTTAACAGTACCCTTTTTACTTTTATCTGTTCAACAATAAGGAAAATATTGTATTTTTTTTAAATGCTGAATTTGGTAGATTTTCTCTTTGTCTTTGCAGAACTTCCATAGAGAAATTTCAAATGAAAACGATATAAATTATAACATCATGGGCGTTTATATTACTCGACATATGAATGGCAAAATAATAAGATTGCTACTAGTTACATGTACTGCAAAAATGAGTAACTCACTGAAAGGATATTTGATAGTTATCAATTAAACATGAATAGGGAATTTCTTAGAGAACGATTTTTGGACCCCCCCCCCCCCTCCTATCAATTTTGTACATTTGTATAATTGATCATGTGGCCACAGCGCCCTGCCCTCTAGCTGTCCTAGCCTCAGCGCTCGGCCCCCTATCCAATCCTAACAGGAGCGCTCGGCCCAGAAATTATCTTAACCTAACCTAACCCTCAATAATAAAAAGTAAATGTACAAGATTGATAGGATGGGGGGGGGGGTCCAAAAATAGTTCTCAAGGACGGACCCCATGAATAATTACATAAACCTAATTTGTAAATAAACTTCACCTTTTATCTTAATTATACTTATAACAACTTTGAGAACTCTAATAAACTATCTTAATTAATCACATTTAGTTTAAGTGATTTCAATTTATTTAATTATAATATTAAAATTACTCATACTACATTCCAGAGACATAACTACAGGGGGGGGGGGCAAAGGAAATGTGCCCCCATCCCCTGTGAGATCAAATTGTAGATGAAATAAGTGTATTTTTTTAAACGGCGTGTTAGAGGGTTTTTTTTCCCAACCAAATCTTAGTGCCCACCCTCCATCTACATAAACGTCAGTTAAAAGCCTGATGCATTTAGCCTTTTCTGTAATTTCAAAACAAAGCAGTGTATGTGGAATCAGATGGATTGTAAGTAGAGATAGAATAGATTTATATATAATGCATCAGAAACGGAGTAGGGTTCAAAAACATAGAAAGTACAAGTAAGGACAATGTCAAGAACGGACAAGAACATACAGTGTGCATAAACGGATATAGTGTACAAGAACGGATGTACAAGAACGGACAAGAACAAACAGTGCGCATAAACGGATATATTGTACAAGGACAATGTACAAGAACGGACAAGAACAAACAGTGTGTATAAACGGATATAGTGTACAAGAAAGGACAATGTACAAGAACGGACAAGAACAAACAGTGTGCATAAACGGATATAGTGTAAAGGACAATGTACAAGGATGGACATGAACAGCATGTATAAACGGATAAAGTGTACAATAAAGGAGATACGGTATAAGAACAAATAGTATGGCCATGTTTCAAAGAGTTTTAACATTCTTTAATCTTAATACATCTCTCTAAATGTTTCTGTAAAGTAGGGTGACCGCCTTTTTCTCGTTATTTCAAGAATCGTACAACACTCATGGCAAAGAATGACCTATGTTGAAACCGTAACTGTATAATTATAACACCCAGGGGGACCGTAAAGTAACAATTTTATTTGTTTTATGTTCCATCTCTTTATGTGTTTTTGTTACATCTCTTTATGTGTTTTTTTTTGGTTCGGCCAACTTATAAGTAACATGCAAACATATAAGTTGATATTTACAATACTTTAGAATATATACAGTATACAATGTACAATATTTTTCAACATACACAATATACAATGTACAATTCTTTTAAAACTATACAATAATAGCTGAAGTGACCGGCATTGCCCGTGAAATTAAAAAAATCTAAATTTGAAAAAGAATGTTAATTTTTGAAGAAGAAAAAAAATAATAGCCTTTGTTATCCCCGAGGCACTCATGGATTCCCTCAAAAAATTTCAGCCAATTCGGTTCAGCCGTTTGGCCAGCTATAGCTGACATATAGATGTTTATATGGAGAGAAGAGCTTTATTAAATAGATACAATGTACATTGTACAATATTTAATTTACATATTTATTACAAATTGCCACTCTGCTTTACACTAAAAACCTGTATTACATTCAGACCGGTTCTGAGAAAGCAGGAAAAGGAATGATAAACCCTGAGTTTTTAACCCCTGAGTACAAAGAAGCATTTCTATCAAGTGCTCCCATTCATAGAAACAAGAAATCAATACGTGAAAACAGACAATTCCGATCTAACTCCGAACAGAGATCAAACCTTGAGATTTTAAAATCTAAAACCTCCATCGTATCTCCGATAGGAACCCCTTCAGAACCTGATGCTCACTGGTTGAAGGCAAAAGCTCTTGGAGATATTGTCAAAGCCCGGAAGCTCTCAAGTCTATAGCAGGTTCAATCTTGGAGCCAACCCCTCCTGTCTGCATGAAGATGTTCTAAACCGAGATTTTTATCCTTTAAAAACTTGCATGGAAGTTTAGCAGGGAAAAGAAGAGTTCACCATTAATTTCCATCAGAAAGTAGGGAGTGATCGGCTAGAAGGGGTCATATATGAATATCAACACTACTCTGTCGCTTTAGTAATTGTAAATTGGCGGTGCAGTCCAAAGTAGGACTGCAAAGGTTGGCCCAGCTCTGATATTTAAATGTACACTGGTGGAGTGTGTGGTGTTGATATTCATTTTATAACAATATCATGTTGTTATTTTGTATGATTTGATGCGAAAGAGTGCAAACCTTTTAAAAAATCATACAGCAACTTCCCCCACACGAATTTTTTTTACAATTATATAATAATTCGAACAAAAAACGTTTATATAACAAATTCTGCTTTAAACTAATGTCAAATTAAGAACATTAAATAGGGTTATTCAATAATTGTAAATAAATGTTCCTTGAGATGGAATTCCCTTTAGGCATGAACAGATTAAGGAGTAGGATAAGGTTCTTCAATGAAAAAACAAAACTAGGCACTGGGTAATGGGCATGCTTTCGATTCTTGCACTAAATATGCAGAATATTTTCATGCATCTTGACTTCTCATGCAGAGTATTTTCATGCATCTTGACTTCTCATGCAGAGTATTTTCATGCATCTTGACTTCTCATGCAGAATATTTTCATGCATCTTGACTTCTCATGGCGCCAATTTGTTCAGACATTTAAAAAATATAGACAATGTATTAATTAGTTTATAATGTATAGTTTATAACGTCAAAAAAGAGCTCCGAGGAACAGAGCACATTTCTATTGGACATTTTCAAAAGCTTCTGAACTTAATCAAACCATATTTTTTTTACACGATTAACAAATATAACCCCATCCCCCCTCCCTCCCTCCCAAAGAGCACATTTTTGTTGTACATTTAACTGTTCATAAATTTCAAGTAAAAAAATTATAAATTATTAAAAGTTTGGATGAATTTTTTTGACAGACAGAAATTTTCGAAAGGTAAGATTGGCTTTGATGTATTCCCAAATTCTACTAGCAATCATAAGGCCGTTTTTTTATGAATTTTCAAACATTTCCTTAAAACGCACGCATGCATTACAGAATGTTGATGTTGTTTGGTAAATCTATTATTCTAACAAAAACAGCGCATTTTCCTACTCTCTTCAAAGGTGGAAAAGAACATATTCATTCACAAAAAAATATTTTTAATACAATGCTTAAAGCGAAGTGTTCACAAATACGGTAAACGGGGTATAAAAATCTGTATTTAAGTATAATATTACAAGTATGTCTCAAAATTTTGAAGATCTTGAGTCTTACTCTTAATGAATAAACAAATATACAATTCTTACATTTTCTCCTTTACTTTATTAAAACAAAGAAGGAATTTATTAATAAGAGAATATTTCATGTTTTAGGACGGGCGCATACCACTGCACTTCGCTGCCGCAACCTCTCCTCAACTTTACTCTCACCTCAAAACAAAGACGACAGACCCAGCTTTAATGGACAATTTTAAACATAACCCAGAGGTCAGTTATAATCACATTTAGAATAATAATAATAAACTTTTTGTAAATTTAAGTTTTTATGGCATTCCTGTTATTTACAATCTGAACAAAGTATTGGTTATTGAATTATGTGAATTCTGTTCGTCACGTGGTAGACAAGAATACTAGATTTTAAAAGGATGTTTGAAATGTTGCCTTTTACCAGGAAAAAAAACTTACACAAAAATTTTCTGAAATGACATTATTAGGGAATTTGAATATTCATAAATAATGTTCATCATCTTATATTTTACACAATATTACTTAGAATCAGGGAAGGATAAAACATGGAGAATTTAGCTCCCCGGCCAAAATATGTTTATAATTGTTTGTTATTTTTAATTAACATTTGAATGACTTGATTTGATACTTCCCTCAAGAAAAAAAATACTACATTTATTTTTGATATTTTTTTAAAATTTTTCTTAATTTTTATAAAGTATCAGTTAACGTGTTAGAAACTGTCAAACTGTTTTTTATTTCATTGTATAATGTCGAGTGTCCTATTTCAAATAAGGAAAAGAGCGTTATTTCTTTTATTTATTTCTAAGAAAATTACCAATTCTAGAGTTTTTTTATAATAAATCTTTTTCTAGTATTTTTAACTTGTTTTATATATTTTTAGCCTTTGTCACCCCCAGGATACCCATGAGTGTCCATAGAAAAATTCAGCCCATTCGGTCCGGCCTCCCGGCTGTAGGGAACATTTATTATATAGATTTAAATAATTTATATATAAATATTAATTAATAAGATAACTAAGGTGGTTTAATATTAGCTTTTGCTATTGCTTTCCATTGTGTAAATACTTCCACTAAAATACTCAATTTTTTCCTTTTTAAAGTTTAATTTTTAAGGTAAATTCAAAATTTTAAACCAGAAAACTATGGAATAAGAAGACGACATTAAAACAATAATTAGTCATATTTGATGTTGTTACAAAGCAAATAGTTTTACTACGGTGGTAGGCGATTATACCAGTACAATGAAGACGACTTACGAATTCCATTTTTGTTTATATCAAGCTTTTAAACAGTAAAGAGAAGCTGTCAATTAAAAAAGCTTCTCTTTAATTACTTGCAAAATTGAAATTCGGAAAAAGCTTGTTAACAATTAAAACTTAAATAAAAAATCGTCTTCATTATATTGATATTATCGCCTACCACCGTAGTAACTTATTTTAATCACTTATTAAGTGAAATGGGTCTGTTTACACTGCACTGTTTACGTTGATTTGCCTCATGTTCATTGGACTATTTAAAGTCATAACTTGAGTCTAAAATTCGTCTTCCTACTTGGTTTTTTGGTTCTCACCGTACTCTAAACTTTAACAGTTACAGTAGAGTTATATAAGACTCGGAATGCTGTAAATGCAAATATTATTTCATATTTGTTCGTTCATTACTAATGCAGTTTTTACTCTCAATAATTGGAACTCCACCTACCAGTTTATACCCCTTCATTCATCAGAGGTTTTTATTCATTTAATAAATATTGATAATTTAGTACTACACCACCCACCCGGAGCAAGTAAGTGTACTCGAACCTACTCCAAAAGTTAAGGTACGTTTTATCTCTTTGCTATTATGAAAATATTGGAAATCCGGAAATTTTTTCTAAATATTTGTCAAAATTTATGATTTTTTCCCCAGGAAGGGAAGCAACAGGAACAGGTAGAAGTTTGCAACACATAAAAGTTTCCTAAATCAAAATTTGCACAAAAACCTGATAAAAGTTATGCAACCTGAACAAAGATCAAGTAATTTACTGTCACCCTTTGAGGACCAAAATCTGCCGTTGGCAGAGCGAGGGAGGGGGTGCATGGCCGACATGAACCCTGCAAAATGGTCTCCAAGCCCCCAGATTCGCAGAATGACATCCAAGTCTCTAAAACGAACTCCGAGCCCTTATTCTGGCTCTGTCTGATGTCTTTACTTTTTATTTGACTTGTGTGGCTTGGTAACTAAAAATCATCAAATAACTTCTCCTAGCGGCCTTGCACTTGCACACTTGCTATCCTTGCTAGCTCACTAGACGGAGATAGCTCACTAGACGGAGCTAGCTCACTAGACGGAGCTAGCTCACTAGACGAAGGTAGCTCACTAGCCCCCCCCCCCTCCTAAAAATCTCATTTTCCTCTTTTGAAATTAAAGAAAAAAATTTGTTGTCTTCCCTTGAATCCCACAGGGGGGACTGAGCCCTTATCACCCCCCCCCCTGGATACGCCTCTGTCCCTAGCCCTTCTGCAGGGTGAAAAAAATTCCCACACCTAATTGAAATTCTGTAAATGCGCCCCTGGACATTTTTCTCTCAAAAATGTCTTTTCCACTGCACCAGATCACAGAGAGGTGTCAAAAAGCTTTAAAAACAGCTGACTCTCATTCACATAATTTCAATAGTTGCATGATACGAACCAGTACAAGGATGCCGGTCTAGTCTTTACCGTACCGGCCCGTCTAGTGTACCCAGTTTGACCCAACACATTTGCTGCAACAGAATTATACAAACTGAATTATATAGTTCACTGACTACCAGTTAAACGTTTTTTTACTAAATGTCATGAATTCTTGTTTAAATATTAATAATGATTAATTTTAAATACTAGGCTTTTAGGATGCTTCGCGCCCATCTTCTATTTAAATTGTGAACATGTTCTTTTTGTTTACATTTTAAAACAAAGAAGAAAATATTTTGCGGATTTTCAAGAATTAAAATTTTTTTTACAAAATTAAAAACCTTTAAAGCACATTTTTTTAAAATTTGTATCATTCATAAACCTTCACTGTGGTCATGTGATGTCCCACAAAAAACTTGGGGCCGATCGGTTCAGCTGTTTTGACGTTTATTGGATACAAACTAACAAACAGACAAACACCCAGACAAGCCAAATTTATATATAGATGAGTGTTTTATCTTATTTTACTGTTAATAATTATTGTTAAGACAAATACTCTTTTTGCATTTGTTTGCAAGTCCTCAAACCAGCTAGTACCGAAAAACATGAGAAAGAAAGTTTTCATTGAAATATGAAAACATGTTTTGTGTCAATGCTAAAGAAACTGATTACTGAATTTCTACAACCTGATGGTGTATACCTTTGATATCTTAAACTATGACTCGATGCGCTTGCAAAAATCATGATTTGACAAATCTACGACAGAAACAGAGAGAGTTGAAAGGGTTTTGTTGCAATATATCATCTTAAGGTCAGATTAATGCCGCCCTACTGGTATGACTTTGTGGCTCATCCAAAGCATGAGAAGAGCAAAACATTTGCAATCGCTTAGGCTGAGGAATAATTATTGAAACCTTGAAAGATTTCAACAATAACGTGAAATGTACTGATATATCTAAATTGGGAAAATCCTGTTTCCTTTTTCCTCGAAATGGAAACTGGAAATTTACTGTTTATGGGGAAAATTCCGGTTTACGAAATGGAAACTGGAAATTTTACAGTTTTCGTTACATAAACCGGAAAAATTTCCGATTTGCAAAATGGAAACTAGAAATTTTACAGTTTCCATTCCAAAAACTGGGAAAATTTCCGGGTTACATCACGTAAACCATTAACATTCCGGTTTCCATTTGATCCGGAATCATCCCGGAATTCCGTTTGAAGCAACAAATTTCCGGATCATTTCATTTCTATATTGGAAATATTTTCCCGGAAAAATGGAAAACCTAACTCGGAACATAAAATCATTGTTATTTTGTTGATTTAAATTGCAAACTATTGGTATCCATTTTCCTTGCATGGGCTGAAGTGTTATTGTTAATTTTACTTAAGCTATGGTATAATTTTTCTCCCCAATGACATGTATCCCCCCTCTTTTTCTTTTTCAGCATCAGTGAAAGTGGGATTATTTATATACATTATTCATACGTTCTTCATGCTATTCTCGAGTGTTTTGTTCCTCTTTTTCTTTCTCATCTTCAGTGTCACTCCAGTGGCAAGAAATCAAATCCTTTAAATATAATTATTTTTAAATTAATAATTCCAAATTTTACCGAGACGCATGTATTGGTATTAATATTTATATTTCAAAGTAATTAAAGTTTGAAATATCTAAAGTTAACGCCATCAGGTTGCAAAATAATATGGATTAGAAATCTGTGCTTAAGTGATAATCAGTTTTCCTTCCAAACTTGAAAGATATTTGATGCATATTTGTAAAATCATGATTTTCCTAAAATCATCAAATACTGAAAGTTTAGGATATTAGTAGTCTACTTGCATTCAAACTTCAATCCAACAAATATATAGAAGTGCATGAAATACAAAATCTTGGAAGAAGATTCATCTTTTCGCATATATTCATTCTTTTCCTTTCATCTTTTTTATTTAGAAGGAGCGGAGTAGGAGTAGAGGAGAGAAGGACAGAAAGAAAGAAAGTTCAGGTACTTTGAACACAGCAGGGAAGGAACAGTTGCTGATTTTAAACCGAAATAATAATCAATTCTATAACATAAAAAATGTATTTTAGATACGGAAGGTTCTGGGCCTAAAGAACCTAACTTTAATCCTAGAGTGAAAGGTAAAAACACTTTTTTAACATGTTAATTTTTTATGATATTATTTGATGGAGTAAAGAATTAAGAAAACGTTTTGTATTTAGGATTGGAGATAAATGATGTTAATATCCGGACATGGATTCATAATAAGTAAGTTTAAAACATTTTTTACTAAATCAGAACTTTTGTTTGAATTAGCGATGACGCTTGTTCTCTGTATTCACTAGGACAACTTTTCAATTTTTAGAAAATAAGCTCTTACGCAAAATAAGAATTATGGCAGTAACTTCTTAAAATCTATAACGGCTAAAATCAATTGCTTTATAAGTATAAAATGTACATTTGTCTAGGGCTACGTAAAAATGGGGTTTATTTTAGATTCCAAGGAAAATTGTTTAACGTTCATTAAAAACTGTTATTTTATATCTCAACAAAATTTGGAACATCCCTCTCAGATTTTTACAGAAATCCTGACCGGTTTTTTTCAATCTTCCTTAGAAATGTTTTTCACAATTTTTTAAGAGAATACTTAAAATAATTCTTTTCTCTTCTATAAAAATCTGCATATATATGAAAGTAATAAATTATATTTTGCCTCTCACTACAGGGGAAGAAAGTTCAAAAGTCTAATTTGGCCAAGATCTGACACTGAGTGTCAGTTTGGGAAAAAGTACCAAAATTGTTTTTTTAACTGTTTTTATAAACTAGTTTAAGTTGAGAGACAAGAAAAATGTAATGTTTTGTTATTTCTAATCATTAAAATGAAAAAAATCAATTAACAATTGTAAATTGTAAGTGACGTGGAAGCCCTGGAGGAGGTTGTGAGATTAGGCCAAGGAAATATCTTATTAAAGCATTCAACAACACAGAAGAGCTCAAACAAGTTCCTGAAACGGGTTCCCAAGATTTTGGTGAGAAATACATACACAAAATACTCAAATTTGGTACGCCCAGCTAAATAGGCCACACTCGGTACTGGCAAGGCATGCCATATTCGGTCAATATGTTGTATGACTGTCATCTAACGCCTATGGTTTCAACTATTACCCTTTCAAGGTTTGAAATCTACGAAAATCTAAATACAATATTTCCACTTTCGATATTCAATTTTTTTCCTTTTTTAATCTAAATTAATTATTAAAATAGGAATTTTCTGAAATATCCCTGCAGGCTGCAGAGAAATAAATGCCAGCTAATTTTTCATGTACTTTACTTGTACAATTTAAATGGAACAGACCCTGATGTTAAAAAATATCTCATGGATCTCTGTACTATCTTATCTCATGGATCTCTGTACTATCTTATCTGATGGATCTCTGTACTATCTTATCTCATGGATCTCTGTACTATCTTATCTGATGGATCTCTGTACTATCTTATCTCATGGATCTCTGTACTATCTTATCTGATGGATCTCTGTACTATCTTATCACATGGATCTCTGTACTATCTTATCTGATGGATCTCTGTACTATCTTATCTGATGGAACTCTGTACTATCTTATCTCATGGATCTCTGTACTATCTTATCTGATGGATCTCTGTAGTATCTTATCACATGAATCTCTGTACTATCTTATCTGATGGATCTCTGTAGTATCTTATCACATGGATCTCTGTAATATCTTATCACATGGATCTCTCTACTATCTTATCACATGGATCTCTCTACTATCTTATCGCATGGATCTCTGTACTATCTTATCACATGGATCTCTGTACTATCTTATCTCAAGGATCTCTGTACTATCTTATCTGATGGATCTCTGTACTATCTTATCTCATGGATCTCTGTACTATCTTATCTCATGGATCTCTGTACTATCTTATCTCATGGATCTCTGTACTATCTTATCTCATGGATCTCTGTACTATCTTATCTCATGGATCTCTGTACTATCTGATCTCATGGATCTCTGTAATATCTTATCTCATGGAACTCTGTACTATCTTATCTGATGGATCTCTGTACTATCTTATCACATGGATCTGTGTACTATCTTATCTGATGGATCTCTGTACTATCTTATCTCATGAATCTCTGTACTATCTTATCTGATGGATCTCTGTTCTATCTTATCTCATGGATCTCTGTACTATCTTATCTCATGGATCTCTGTACTATCTTATCTCATGGGTCTCTGTACTATCTTATCTGATGGATCTCTGTACTCTTATCTCTGGAGAAAGGAATTTGCAGAAAATCACTATTTCTATGATAGTTAAATATGAGCTTAAGAATTGTTTATTGTTCAAATATTAAAACAAACACATTTGTAGTTTGTCAAAAGTACATGTACGATACAGTTGCCCGTACAGGTACAGGTACAGTTGCCCGTACAGGCACAGGTACAGTGCCCGGACAGGCACAGGTACAGTTGCCCATACAGGTCCAATGAAAGGTACTGTGAAGGTAAAGGTTCAGGTACAGAAGCAGGCACAAGTCCAAGGAAAGGTACTGTGAAGGTAAAGGTTCAGGTACTGAAGCATGTAAAGGTCCAAGGAAAGGTACTGTGAAGGTAAAGGTTCAGGTACAGAGGAAGGTACAGGTTCAAAGAAAGGTACTGTGAAGGTAAAGATTCAGGTACAGGAGCAGGTACAGGTCCAAGGAAAGGTACTGTGAAGGTAAAGGTTCAGGTACAGAAGCAGGTACAGGTCCAAGGAAAGGTACTGTGAAGGTAAAGGTTCAGGTACAGAAGCAGGTACAGGTCCAAGGAAAGGTACTATGAAGGTAAAGGTTCANGGTGCAGACCTTAGATATTTCGAAGTGTAAATTCTGTTAAATTAAATAATCAAAGTTTAAAAATATAAAAGGTTTACACCATCATGTTGCAAAGATATAGGATTGATTTTCTAGCAACAACTCAATTCCTCAAATTAAAATGTTTAGAATGATGTGAGAGACCTCCATACAGCAACAATAGAAGGTTGGTTTTATTCTAATGTATTTTTTGGGAGGGTTGTCGCCATTAAAAGTGGGGGGGATTCTTCATTGTTGTTTCATTTTGTTTAGAAAAAGTATTTTTTCATTGGATTCAGCTTTTTTTGTAGCGTCAAAAAAAAAAAAATCTTGGTTTATTAAATACCTTTTAATAAAATGCTTTCAGGAGATTTGGAAACTCTAAAGAAATGTGATCCAATTCTTTTAAATCATAAAGACCTTAAAGGACTCACTTCCTTTCATAAGGTAGGTTTTTTGAAACTATATGAACTAATTATTACAGTGTACTTTATTTCACTGTACTGTACTCAGTACTCTACTGTACTGTATTGTACTTTACTGTACTGTACTGTATTGTAATGTACTGTACTGTACTGTACTGTACTCTACTCTACTGTACTGTTTAAATTTGTTTTTGAAACTATATGAACTAATTATTACAATGTACTTTATTTCACTGTACTGTACTCAGTACTGTACTGTACTGTACTGTACTGTACTGTACTTTACTGTACTGTACTGTACTGTACTGTACTGTACTGTACAGTTTAAATTTGTTTTACATATCTAAGTTCGTATTATAAAAAGATAGAATTGAAAATAAAAAGAGTAACAAAATTTTCAAGTTTTGAAACTTTCAGTTTAGATGCTTTTATATTCTTTACATTTTATATTTCTAAAACTTTTTACTTTAACTCTCAGCTTTACACTCTTTATAAAGTTAATAAAGTATCTTTCTTTAGAACCTGGCATAACTAAAAAATATCAAATTTGTGTTATAAATTTATCATTTATCAATTATGTTAAACTTTAGTATCAAGGCATTCATTCATCTCTATAGAATACATAAGAAAGGGTTTATTATAAAAATAAATTATGATATTATCGATGATCTACTGAACAATTATTCTATTGAAAATACAAGAATCTTTTCTTTAAATACACAGATTTTGCTCTAGAAAATGTCAGCCAAAAACGTAGAGATATTTAATGAGGCTCAAAAAATATGTATTTTTTACAATATTAAAAGTGTTCCTTTTCCAGTCTTTAACCTTCACTTGTTTCTGGATCCTTCTAAAGCTCTTAGTATATTGTTTCACAGTTTGTTTTTAATCTTCGAGACAGACAAGAACTTACGAGGGTCAAACCAGACCGAAATATATTTTCAATAAATGTGGAACTAACATCTACTTTTTTTACTCTACAGAGGTTTAGTCCATCACCATCACCGAATTTTAAATCTAGACAACTTATATCCCTGATATCTATATAAGGATTATAGGTTCTATAGTATATTAACTATATCCCAGATATCTATATAAGGATTAGGTGCTACAGTATATTGACTATATCCCTGATATCTATATAATGATTAGAGGTTCTATATTATATTGACTATATACCTGATATCTATATATGGATTAGGTTCTATAGTATATTGACTATATCCCTGATATCTATATAT